GTCTTATCGTAGCAGGTGCTAGCCCCGCCCACCCACCCTCTATTTTTTTGGAAGGTATGTTATTTGCCAAAATCAGTCGTATCGTGGCAGCTACTAGCCCCGCCCACCCACCCTCTCTCTTTGGAAGGTATGTCATTTGCCAAAATCAGTCTTATCTTGGACCTTGAATTTTCGAAATATTCGAAAATTTTAGAATCTTTAGAATCTAGAATTTCCCGAATGGCTAGAATCCAATATGCTGTAGAATTTAAATTACTTAGAATCCAGATTCATCAGAAAGTCTAAAATCGATAGAAGGTATAGAATTTTTGCATTTTAAGAGTTTCTGAAGTTTCTAACCTCGGAATGTGTGGAATCTCTGGAACCTTTAGGATTTTCGTAATCCTGGAAAGCTTCGAATTCTTCAGAATTGTTGGGATGTTCAGTCTTCAAAATATTCAAAATCTTTAGACTCTTTGATTTTCTAGTCTCCTATTATTCGAAATCTTGGGAATTTCTACTTAGAATTTCCGGCATTCTTGGGAATTTCAGAATTTTTGAGACCTTCAGTCTTCGAAATATTCGAAAACTACAAAATCTCTAGAATCTAACATTTCTCGAAGGGTTAGAATCTCAATAGTCTCTAGAATATCTAGATTCGTTAGAAAGTCTAAAATCTATGTAATATATAGATTATTATTCAAAATTTTGAGAATATTAAGAGTTTCTGAAATTTTTAGAATACTTATAACCCTGGGAATCTTCAAATTCTTCAGAATTGTTGGGATTTTCAGTCTTCAAAATATTCAGAATGTTTAGACTCTTTGGATTGTCTAGTATTTCTCGAATGGCTAGAATCTCAATACGCTCTGTAGTCTCTAGAATCTAAATTACTTCGAATCTAGATTCGTTAGAAAGCCTAAAATTATAGATTATATAGATTATTCAAAATTTTCAGAATATTTAGAGTTTCTGAAGTTTATAGCCTGGGAATTTTTGGAATTTGTAGAACCTCCGAAATTCTTGGAATTTTCAGAATTTTTGGGCTTTTAAGTCTTCGAAATATTCTAAAACTTCAGAATCTTTGGAATCTGTAGAATCTCAAAACGCTCTCTAGCCTCGCCCACACGCCTTCTGTTTTCTTAGAGGGTACTTCATTTGCCGAAATCAGTCTTACCTTGGCAGCTACTAGCCCCGCCCACCCTCTTTTTTCTGAGTGGGTATGTAATTTGCCATAATCAGTCTTATCCTTGCCAGTAGTTGTTAAGATAAAACTGATTTTGGCAAATGATATACCTTCCAAAAAAATACAGGGTGGGTGGGCGGGGCCAATACCGCTAAGGTAAAACTGATTTCAGCAGACACTAGCTCCAGCCACCAGCCCTCGATTTTCTAATAGATATCTCATTTACCAAAATCAGTCTTATCGTAGCAGGTGCTAGTCCCGCCCACCCACCCTCTATTTTTTTGGAAGGTATGTTATTTGCCAAAATCAGTCGTATCGTGGCAGCTACTAGCCCCGCCCACCCACCCTCTCTCTTTGGAAGGTATGTCATTTGCCAAAATCAGTCTTATCTTGGACCTTCAATTTTCGAAATATTCGAAAACTTCAGAATCTTTAGAATCTAGAATTTCCCGAATGGCTAGAATCCAATATGCTGTGGAATTTAAATTACTTAGAATCCAGATACATCAGAAAGTCTAAAATCGATAGAAGGAATAGAGTTTTTGCATTTTTAGAGTTTCTAAAGTTTCTAATCTCGGAATTTGTGGAATCTCTGGAACCTTTAGAATATTCATAATCCTGGGAAGCTTCGAATTCTTCAGAATTGTTGGGATGTTCAGTCTTCAAAATATTCAAAATCTTTAGACTCTTTGATTTTCTAGTCTCCTATTATTCGAAATCTTGGGAATTTCTACTTTGAATCTCCGAAATTCTTGGGAATTTCAGAATTTTTGAGACCTTCAGTCTTCGAAATATTCGAAAACTTCTGAATCTCTAGAATCTAACATTTCTCGAATGGTTAGAATCTCAATGGTCTCTATAATATCTAGATTCGTTAGATAGTCTAAAATCTATGTAATATATAGATTATTATTCAAAATTTTGAAAATATTAAAAGTTTCTGAAATTTTAAAATATTTATAACCCTGGGAATCTTCAAATTCTTCAGAATTGTTGGGATTTTCAGTTTTCAAAATATTCAGAATCTTCAGACTCTTTAGATTCTCTAGTATTTCTCGAATGGCTAGAATCTCAATACGCTCTGTAGTCTCTAGAATCTAAATTACTTAGAATCTAGATTCGTTAGAAAGTCTAAAATCTATAGAATATATAGATTATTAAAAATTTTCAGAATATTTAGTTTCTGAAGTTTATAGCCTGGGAATTTTTGGAATTTGTAGAATCTCCGAAATTTTTGGAATCTTCAGAATTTTTGGGCTTTTAAGTCTTCCAAATATTCGAAAACTTCAGAATCTTTGGAATCCGTAGAATCTCAAAACGCTCTCTAGCATCGCCCACACGCCTTCTGTTTTCTTAGAGGGTACTTCATTTGCCGAAATCAGTCTTATCTTGGCAGCTACTAGCCCCGCCCACCCACCCTCTCTTTTTTTAGAGGGTATGTCATTTGCCAAAATCAGTCATATCTTGGACCTTGAATTTTCGAAATATTCGAAAACTTCAGAATCTTTAGAATCTAGAATTTCCCGAATGGCTAGAATCCAATATGCTGAAGAATTTAAATTACTTAGAATCCAGATTCATCAGAAAGTCTAAAATCGATAGAAGGTATAGAATTTTTGCATTTTTAGAGTTTCTGAAGTTTCTAACCTCGGAATTTGTGGAATCTCTGGAACCTATAGAATATTCATAATCCTGGGAAGCTTCGAATTCTTCAGAATTGTTGGGATGTTCAGTCTTCAAAATATTCAAAATCTTTAGACTCTTTGATTTTCTAGTCTCCTATTATTCGAAATCTTGGGAATTTCTACTTTGAATCTCCGAAGTTCTTGGGAATTTCAGAATTTTTGAGACCTTCAGTCTTCGAAATATTCGAAAACTTCAGAATCTCTAGAATCTTAACATTTCTCGAATGGTTAGAATCTCAATGGTCTCTAGAATATCTAGATTCGTTAGAAAAACTAAAATCTATGTAATATATAGATTATTATTCAAAATTTTGAGAATATTAAGAGTTTCTGAAATTTTTAGAATACTTATAACCCTGGGAATCTTCAAATTCTTCAGAATTGTTGGGATTTTCAGTCTTCAAAATATTCAGAATGTTTAGACTCTTTGGATTCTCTAGTATTTCTCGAATGGCTAGAATCTCAATACGCCCTGTAGTCTCTAGAATCTGAATTACTTAGAATCTAGATTCGTTAGAAAGCCTAAAATCTATAGAATATATAGAGATTATTCAAAATTTTCAGAATATTTAGAGTTTCTGAAGTTTATAGCCTGGGAATTTTTGGAATTTGTAGAACCTCCGAAATTCTTGGAATCTTCAGAATTTTTGAGCTTTTAAGTCTTCGAAATATTCGAAAACTTCAGAATATTTGGAATCCGTAGAATCTCAAAACGCTCTCTAGCCTCGCCCACTCGCCTTCTGTTTTCTTAGAGGGTACTTCATTTGCCAAAATCAGTTTTATCCTAGCTAGTAGCTGTGATTTTGGCAAATGAAGTACCTACCTTGTAAGAAAAAAAGGGTGGGTGGGTGGGGCTAGTAGCTACTAAGATAAAATTGATTTTGGCAAATGACATATTCTCCAAAAAAAGAAAGGGTGGGTGGGCGGGCCTAGTAGCTGCTAAGATAAAAGTATAAATCTTCTTTTTTAATTAATACATCTAGGGCCAGTTTATAGAAAAGCGAATTAAATATTTAATCCTCGATTACTTTAGCACAGGACTAAAATGAGTACTATGAGAGAACAAGAAACTCAGAATATGATTAAAATGGTACATTTTTGTAAATATGGATTTCGCAATTATTTCATGTTGTGAAAAGAAATCTACACACATTGAAACAGAAAGGCAAAATGTAAGCCCGCCCACCCGCCCTATCTCAATTCTGATGATTTTTTTATTCACCGTTAACCAAAGGGGCGGAGCTTCACTGCAAAATACTTATTTCTTTACAAGAAATTAAAAACATGTTTTTAAGTATCGTGTTCAAAGAATACTATGTACATTAAGAAAAAAAGGCAAAATATAAACCCCGCCCACCCACCCCATCTCAATTGTGATGATTTTTTTTATTCTTAGAAACTTAAAACAGATTTAAAATGGTAAATTAAAAAAAAATATATGGATTTTGGAATTAGGCTTCGCCGCCCCTAGGTCTTGTCAATGAAAAGTTCATTACTATTTAGATCAGGGCGTGTATGGATTTAATTTTTTCTTAATATATGTACATAGTATTCTCTGATACTACGACACTCAAAAACATGATTTACATGGTAATTTCTTGTAGAAGATAATATATCATCACAATTGAGATAGGGTGGGTGGGCGGGGCTACATTTTGTCTTTTTTTTTCTTAGTATGTGTAGACTTATTTCGACAACAAGAAAAAAAGTAATCTACACTTTTTTTTCTACAACCCCTTTAAATATGGCAAAAGTTGCCTTCAAAGTTACTATCAACCGCAAGTTGGCAATGGTTCTAGGAGATATTTTCAATCACAAAATTTCATAGCCAATTTTATAACCACCTTTAGTGTTTTCAAGATTCAAATACTGAAAAAAAAAACATTGAAAAATTATGTTAAAAGCTTTATACACATGCAACACGTGCCTTATCTGGAAATTATCATGTTAGTATGAAGATAACCGATTTAGTACTGTCGACAAAATTGTGTAAGGTAGACATCCTTTTAAGTGATTTATCTAAATCAGGTGACTCAGACTCGATGGACAGTTATTGTATTGTATTAAATCAAGTAGTTCAGGTGTTCAGGTAGAATCATTATGTTAAATCAGGACTTCTCAAACTTTTTTCATCAAAAAAAAAAAACAAACATAATTAAATATTGGGATTGATTTAAATCGTATCTAAATAGGTACAAATAAATAGATTAATAAATTCGTGATTTATTGATCATTAATGGGAACAAGCTACTGACATATTGGTTATTTTAAAGTAATTAATTAATTAATTCTACGATCTATACACCTTCATTACGTCCTTTATCCCCACTCTACACAAAGGACAATGCCCGTCGCCACCCCCCCGCCACTGCTTCTTCGCACAATCCGCACACAAACACATATGTCCACAAGGATACAAAGCCACCTCGATCAAATTATCGCAGCAAATAACGCACCCCGAATCACCCCGAACCTGTTTCTCCACCTTCCTCTCAGAGGGCGCCAAATTCTTCCCAGAAATCGTCACTTCAATTTTTTTACCACTCCCCAAAACAAAAAACCCCCATAGTTTGGTGGTCGTATCAACGTGAAACTTCTTCAGAAGCAAAGAACTGTTCTTCCAAATTTTCATTTCCCCATCAGTCGAAATCAAGTAACTTAGTTCATCGTTTCGTTGGAAATTCCAAGTGGGATCATCCACAACCACCCAATACTCCGATCTGTCAAACAAACCATCCGGAGTTTCCGGAAGATCTTCATGTTTTAAAAACGACGGATCGCAAGAAGTCACCCCTAAAACAAGATTACCATCACTCAAAAATCTAACTAGTACGGATTTTTCGAGTTGAAGGGGCGCCCCCACGAAAACGTAACCAGGATCGTCGTCTAGTTTTTGCACTCTGTTGGCGCTTACTTTCACGTTGGCGCTACTGAACTCGTGAAAAATAGTCGCTTTTGGTACGTTGACATTCGGGTGAGAGTTGTGTGCTTCGATGGCCGTCAGAGGGCTCCGGATGTCCACCAAACCCCACAATTGTCCACTCGTGTCCACGTTTTTGTCGAAACACGCCTTCTCCACACCGTTCACACCGAAATGAATATTCCCAGAGGGACTCACGTAGAACTGTAATACCGCGTCCCGGACGCAGCATTGCTTCGGTGGTGTACAAATCCAGAATCCTTGTTTTATCTTCAACTCGCTCCTGCTTTTGAGGGGTAGGTCGTCTCGCATGGTGGACGGGTCATGTGACGTGAATCCGATGCTGATGATGGTCGGGTATTTGTCCGAAACTTCGACGAGTTTTATGGCGATTTTTTGGAAAGGGCGGATTGGTTCGGATATGAATACTAGGCCGTTGTGGTTCGTTTGGGCGCTGCGGGCTGTGGTGGATTTGTGGGATATTGAGATGTCGATCCCGTGGGTCTCGTGGAAGCGGATTTTTGGCTTTTGTGGCTGGAAAGTTGTGGTTAGTGTAGTGGAATTTTATTCGAAGGTACTTACCTGTGACATTTTGTGATAGTTTGTGTTGGAATGAGTAAGATTTATCGGTTATCGTAGATTAGGGTTGAGATTAGAGGTTATCGGAAGGTGCGTTTGTGGAATGAGTTGGGTGTTGATTGATTAGTGGGATTTTCGTATTTGCGTTAATTAAAGTAGTGTTTGTTTTATTTTAGTTTTTAGTATCTATATTTTTTGTTTTGACGGATACAAGTGGTAAAAATGTGTTTGAATACTTGTATAAAACTTACGTAACCTGTTATAAGTACAAAATTTGTAAAATGATTGTGAGGGGTTGGACGGCACAATAGTAGGGTGAAATTACAGGAGTTCTAATTGAAAATATTGATGCCCCCAATAATAATCTAATCATTATCACTATTAAGAGAAGATTCCGATTGCGGAATATCTTAAATTGTCATTATTAAGTGTTGTTTCAAACTCTATAATACATTGATGACGCTTCAGGTTTCAGATTATGAATCCCATTTTTAAGTTACCATCATTTTTATATTAACTTTATAGGGGTTATCGTAAAAAAAATAATACAATTTGCATAATTTAATTTCATAATTTTCCGAAGAATCTGAAAATGCATAATGATTGCTTTGAGGTTATGTCGGACTTTCTTGTCACAATTTAAAAACAGAAATTTAAAATAATTGTTAGATATTAGACAACACTTCATCAACACAAAAAAATTGTATTTGTTCGCGTTCTCCAAAATTAATTAAAATTAATCATTACTAAAAAAAAGTCTTAAAATGGGTTCTGATTTATACTGGTAACACTGGTACAGAAATGGTCCATATAATTTCTTTGTAAATTCAAAATGTAGTTTTTCTGAAATTCACATTACAGTGACGTTGTTATAATGTTTGTATTTTTTTTTGTCAGGTTGGTGACATAAGGGTGTGGGGACAAAAAATCTGCACAAATTTTAATTTACCGAAAATCGAGTTAGCTTTGAGAAAAATGACGGTTGACGTTATAACATTTTTTGGCAGTTATTAAAAATTGTTATGCCTAGTTCCTCTTGAAAGTTTCAATATTTTTTGTAATAATGGAAGACTTAAATGAAAATGATCACCGATCTGTGATTGCCAAATTTTATAGAAAGCATATGCATTTAAAAAAGTCATTCACCGTTAATCACTTCTTCCAAATAGGGATATAAAAAAGGACAACTTATAGCATTTGCAGAAGAGTAGAGAATGGGAATTCGGTAGAAAGACAAGTAGGAAGCGGAAGACCAGCAAGAAAAATGCCCCAGAAGAAGAGAGAAGCCTTAGTCAATCAAAGTCACGGTAAACTTGGTGTTTCACTAAGAAAGCTTGGACGGAAATTTAAAATCGACAAAAAGTATGTTAGCAACATATTAAAGGAGAATAATATTAAACTTGCAACTCGAAAATCCGCTCCCAAATATTCAGAAAAACAAAAGTTGGAACAAAAACGAAAATTAAGGCATCTTTCTGAATCCGCTTTTTTTCCCTCAAATGGTACTGAAATAATCATCGATGACGAATCCTACTTCACTTTTGATGGTAGCGATACTGCTAACAATAAACATTTCTATTGTAAGGAAGGAGAAGAAGTAGATGGGAAAGTGAAATTCAAACGTCACAAAAAATTTCAGTCCAAGTTGTTGGTCTGGTTGGCCATTTCTTCACGTGGACATTCTATTGCGTTTATTTGCCCATCTGGAAATTCTGTTAATGCAGATATTTATGAAAAATAGTGCATTAGGTCTCGACTTGTCCGTTTTATAAGAGAAAAGCATTCAGATGGCAATTTTGTATTTTGTCCAGACATGGCAACAGCTCATTACGCAGCTAACGTTATTGCTGCATATAATTAGTTAAACATTCCTTTTATCCCTAAGGATAAAAATGTTCCGAACGTCCCTCAACTACGCCCAATTGAACGTTTTTGGAGAAATCTAAAGAGGAATGTGTACGAAAATGGATGGGAAGCCTCGACACATGCAGAATTAAAGAAGCGTATACTGCTGAAAATACGGCAAACAAAAATATCGGCTTTTACAAATTTAATGCGCCGTATTAAAACAAAAATTCGTAAAGCAAGCAGATATGGTGCAGATTGTGTTCTTTAAAGTTGTTTTTATAAATGTTGTTGATCACATTATTAATACATGCTTTTATAATACAGTTATTCTAGTTTGAAATTTGTGCAGATTTTTTGTCCCCACACCCTTATTTAAAATTTTAAGACAACATGCCTAATTGTCGAATTGAAATTTATTGTATCAAGTTAGTAGTTGTCATCTTCTTGTCACCTTTGTTAGGCGCGCTTATGTCAAAATTGACAACTGTGAATTGACAGTAATAACGTCTGCATTGCTACCAATATTTCAGATGTGCCAACACAAAAATTTGCTTCAATCATTAATAATAATCATCCGGATTTATCCTTGCCAGTTAATACATAAACTTTTAAACACTACGCCCTGACATTGATTATACTTCAGAAAATTTATTAGACAGATAATTTCCGAAACTACTGGAGTGATTGTTGTCAAATTTTAAACCACGTATTTTATAAATATCGTGTAGATGGTAAAACTAAAATTAAATTATTTGATTATTCGTACAATTTAATGACGTCATCCCAACATTTTGCTGCCCTTTTTACGTCCTGATTATATTTATCTACTTATCTTCTTTAAAAATATAATGACGTCATCGCAAAATTGTGGTAGATAAAACTGTATAAAATAGTATGGGTCTATACTTAATGATTTAATAATGTATCCATTTTTTTTGACTTCTCGGGTGTAAGTTAAGAAGGATTGTAATAGGGCCTATCCAACGAATAGCTACTTTTATGTTTTTTCGACGTTTCAAGGCCCAGCGAGTATGGAAACATAGGTCTCCCGTGTCCCTCTGACTGTGTATAGGAAACTACCCGGCCGATTGTTGTCAAATTTTAAAATTTGTAGTAAATGCGGTTTACATTCCTGCACTTGTGGTGTATGAAGCTGCTTTGAGTTTTATCACTTCACACAAATTTTTATGTAATATTTGCCGGTGGTCGTTTGGTTTTCTCTTCAACCCAGTGTTACACTTGAGCTCTGTTCGCGTGAGTTCCAATTCCATCCTCGTCGATTTTTTTTTTTCTAAAACATTCAATTTGTTTGAATGTTTAACTTAAGATGCACCCTGTTTCGACCTTTTTTGAAATTTAGTTAAATTTCTTCGATAATTCGTATCATTTTTCCAGAATCGCCAATTGAAATGTGGCAATTTTAAGAAATTTTTCAAAAAATTGAAGTTTCATCTCTGATATTTCTAAAATTCGTGTTCTGGATCATAAACAGGGTAGATTTTTCGAATTAGCACGTCGAGATCTACATCCCAGAATTTTTTGGGAATTTTTGTGCAACTTTTTCGAAAGTTCAATTTTTTAATACAAAATGTTCCTCTTTTGATCATTTTCTAAATTTAGTTGAAGACTTTTCTGCTAGCTTTCGACTTTGAAGTTTCGGTTTCGGCCCCATTTCTTCGATTAATCTTATAATTTTTTTGAAAAATTTAAATTTCAAGTCGGATATTTCTAAAAGCTCCATAAACACTATATATTTTTCGAATTATATGTGGAGATCTATATCCCAACATTTTTTTGGGAATTTTTAGGGAACTTTTTCGAGAGCTCAATTTTGCAATACTCCTCCCTAATGAAAATTTCGGCTTTTTTTCGATCATTTCGAAATTTAACTAAATATATGTTCTTATAGATTTCAACCTCTAGAAGTCAATTGTAGCCTGATTTCTTCCATTAATCCTATAATTTTTCCACCATCGGCAATTGAAATGTGACAATTTTTAAGATTTTCTGAAAAATATGAGTTTCAAGTCGGATATTTCGAAAATTTTTGTTCGGGATCATAAAAACGATATATTTTTTGAATCAACACGTCGAGATCTACTTCCCAGAATTTTTTGGGAATTTTTAGGCTACTTTTTCGAAAGTTCACTTTTTCAATACAATTTTTTTAATTTTCGATTTTTTGGTCTTTCGTTTTCTAAATTTTTCAATATTTCATTTCGAGATTTTTCAGTATAAGATTTTTTGATGTTTCGCTCCTTCGATTGTTTAAATTTTAGATTTATCGATTTCCCGATTTTTTGATATTTTGGAATTTTTTAAATTTTTTTGATTCTTTACTTTTAGATTTTTCAATTTTTCTGTTACTCAATTTTTGGATGTTCCAGGTTCAGAATTTTTCAATGCTTCATTTCTCGATTTTTCAAATTTTCGATTTTTCGTTTTTTTATTTTTTTGATTTCACACTTTTCCGACTTTCTGTTTTTTGATTTTTCAGTTTTTCAATTCTTCAATTTTTCGTTTTACCGATTTTTCAATTTTTCATCTCTCAAGTTTCTGATATTTTAGTTTTACGTTTTTTCAACTTCTCGGTTTTAAATTTTCAATATTAACGATTTTTTAAATTAAAAATTTGGAATTTTCGATCTTAATATTTTTCGATTTTTAGCTTTTCAGTTTTCTATGTTTCGATTTTTCGATTTCACAATTTTTCGGAAATTCATTTTGGGGATTTTTCAATTTCTTAATTTTCTAACATTTCAATTTTGGAAATTTTTCATTTTCTGGATTTTTAAATTTTTCTATAAAAAAAAAATCTGAAGTTTAAATTTTTTGATGTTTCGATCGGTCGATCTTTAGAAAAATATTTTTCCCCGTTGTTACCTGTTTTAAATATATTTTTTTTGCCTTGTTTTCTTAAAATGTATACTCATCTTTTCACAACAAGGAACTGAAAACATGTCTAAAATGGTAAATTTGTACAGGGAAATATCGATTTTGCAATTACGCTCCATAAACACGCTAAATTTTTCGAATCAGCAGGTCGAGATCTATATCACAGAATTTTTTGGGAATTTTTAGGCAACTTTTTCGAGAGCTTAATTTTTCAATACTCTTCCCTTATGAAAATTTCGGCTCTTTTTCGATCATTTTCGAAATTTAACTAAATATATTTTCTTCAACCTCTAGAAGTCACTTGTGGCCTGATTTCTTCCATTAATCGTATCATTTTTCCACCATCGCCAATTGAAATGTGACAATTTTTAGGATTTTTTGAAAAAAATGAGTTTCAAGTCGGATATTTCTAAAATTTTTTTTCGGGATGATAAAAAGGATATATTTTTGAATCAGCACGTCGAGATCTACTTCCCAGAATTTTTTGGACATTTTTGGGCAACTTTTTCAATAAATACTTATACCTGTGAAAATTGTGGCCCTTTTTCGACCATTTTCGAAATTTAGTTGGACATTTTCTTATAGATTTTGATCTCTAGAAGTTACTTTTACCCTCATTTCTTCGATTAATCCTATATTTTTTCCAGAAACGCCAACTGAAATGTGACAATTTTTAGAGTTTTTTGAAAAATTTAAATTTCAAGTCGGATATTTTTAAAACTTGTTTGAGAAACACACTATTTTTCGAATCAGCACGTCGAGATCTATATATCAGAATGTTTGTGAGATTTTTGGCAAAATTTTTCAGAAGTTCAATTTTTCAATACCCCATGAAAATTTTCGTCCTTTTTCAACCATTTTCGAGATTTTGTTGAGGACATTTTCCGGTAGCTTTCGATCTCTAGAAAGTACTTTCGGCCTCATTTCTTCGATTAGTCCTATAATTTTTCCAAAAACGCCAAAAGAAATGTGACGATTTTTTGAAAAAAATGCGTTTCAATTTTTAGAATTTTTTGAAAAATTTAAATTTTGAGTCGGACATTTCTAAAAGGTTGTTTGAGGACTATAAACACGCCATATTTTTCGAATCAGCACGTCGAGATCTATGTCCCAAAATTTTTCGTGAATTTTTGGGCAACTTTTTCGAAGGTTCAATTTTTCAATTCTCCTCCATGAAAATTTCGGCTTTTTAGATCGTTTTTCAAAATTTAACTAAATACATTTTCTTGTAAATTTCAACCTCTAGAAGTCACTTGCGGCGTCAATTCTTCCATTAAATGTTATCATTTTTCCACCATCGTTAATTGAAATGTAACAATTTTTAGGATTTTTTGAAAAAAAAAAAAATAGTTACAAGTCGGATATTTCTAAAATCTTTGTGGATTTCGACCTCTAGAAGTTACTTTCGGCCTCATTTCTTCGATTAATTAATTAATTTTTCCACAAAACTCCAATTGAATTACGACAATTTTTAGAATTTTTTGAAAAATTTAAATTTCGAGTCGGATATTTCTAAAAGCTTGTTTGGGGACTATAAACACGCGCTATTTTTCGAATCAGTACGTCGAGATCTGTCGCAGAATTGTTTGGGAATTTTTGGGCAACTTTTTCGAAAGTTCAATTTTTCAATTCTCCTCCATGAAAATTTCGGCTATTTCGATCGTTTCAAAATTTAACTAAATACATTTTTTGTAAATTTCAACCTCTAGAAGTCACTTGCGGCCTAAATTCTTCCATTTAATCTTGTCATTTTTCCACCATCGCCAATTGAAATGTAACAATTTTTAGGATTTTTTGAAAAAAATAAAATAGTTTCAAGTCGGATATTTCTAAAATCTTTGTTCGGGATCATAAACCGGATATATTTTCCGAAACAGCACGTCGAGATCTACATCCCACAATTTTTCGGGAATTTTTGGGCAAGTTTTTCGAAAATTCAATTTTTCAATACTCCTCCCTAATGAAAATTTCGTCCCTTTTTCGATCATTTTCGCAATTTAACTAAATACATTTTCTTGTGGATTTCGATCTCTAGAAGTTACTTTCGGCCTCATTTCTTCGATTAATCCTGTAATCTTTCCACAAAACGCCAATTGAATTACAATTTTTAGAATTTTTTGAAAAATTTCAATTTCGAGTCGGATATTTCTAAAAGCTTGTTTGAGGACTATAAACACGCTATATTTTTCGAATCAGCACGTCGAGATCTATGTCCCAGAATTTTTCGTGAATTTTTGGGCAACTTTTTCGAAAGATCAATTTTTCAATTCTCCTCCCTCATGAAAATTTCGACCTTTTCGATCGTTTTCAAAAGATAACTAAATACATTTTCTTGTAAATTTCAACGTCTAGAAGTCACTTGCGGCCCCGATTCTTCCTTTAAATCTTATCATTTTTCCACCATCGTCAATTGAAATGTAACAATTTTTAGGATTTTTTGAAAAAAAAAAAAAGTTTCATCTTGGATATTTCTAAAATCTTTGTTCGGGATCATAAACAGGATATATTTTTCCAAACAGCACGTCGAGATCTACATCCCACCATTTTTTGGGAATTCTTGGGCAAGTTTTTCGAAAATTCAATTTTTCAAAACTCCTCCGTAATGAAAATTTCGTCCCTTTTTCGATCATTTTCGCAATTTAACTAAATACATTTTCTTGTAGATTTCGACCTCTAGAAGTTACTTTCGGCCTCATTTCTTCGATTAATCCTGTAATTTTTCCACAAAACGCAATTGAATTACGACAATTTTTAGAATTTTTTGAAAAATTTAAATTTCGAGTCGAATATTTCTAAAATTCACAGTGTTTTTCTTGAAATTCTGGGATCATAGTATCAATGGTTTACGTATTAATTAGTAATCCACGTCTATTTTTTATCAGAATTTAATAATAGAGGCATCATAAAAAAATAAATTTCGCAGGATCAAATGTTACAGTTTATCTAAAAACAGTATTCGTTTGGTTGTACGTTTGTCTAAATAATTTTGGATCAATTTTTTATTCGTAAAGTGCACATTTTAAAAATCCTAAAATTTGTAATGCGATTAAATGATTCAGAATCATTTAATTTTTTACTTCAATTTTTTTATTCAGTGTATATAAAGAGAATTTATATTTTCAGTCGTTTTGAATATTATAAACTTAAAAAAAGCACGTGCCACTAACTTTAAAAACTCTTACAAAAGAACGTTTGCCATTTATGTGGAGAGTTTTGGTCTTTAAATAAAGTATTGTTTTTTTGTTGTCCAATAATTTATTTTATCTCGCTACACATAGTGCAGCTCAATATATATATTTTTTTTTATCAATTGATTAAATCCTAGCACTCAGAAACAACAGTGATATTGAAAATTTAAAAAGTCCACTATATGGGTAATTTTTACTCGTATCTAGTTGTTAATACAATTTATCAACACAAATAATTAAGAAACAATAAGGAAAATATAAGTTGCTATTATTAATTGCGTTCGTTTTTAAAAATCTTGATTGTTGGGTAATAATAAAACTTAATAATAAACTTACATCGTATTGAGTAATAAATTAAACCGATAAATAAATAAAGTCAGTATTTTCCTCAAACCTTGTAAATTTTCAAGATATCTCTAATCTTCACCCTACACATGGGGCAACTCCCCCTCCCGGAACCTCTCCACTGCTCCCTAGCACACCCATAGCACAAACACATATGCCCACACGGATACAACGCCGCCTCGATCACATTCTCGTAGCAAATAGCACACAGCGACCCGTCATCTTCCCCATCAACCTCCTTCTTCACAGAAATAACCACTTCGTTCTTCACTTCTTTCCAATCCGGCTCAAAAAGATCAAAATTCCCAAAATCTACAGGTGTATAACTCATAATTTCCACACTTTCTAAAGCCGCAATGTCGAAAAAAGCCCACAATTGTGAATCAACATTCACCCTAATTTCCTTCAGAAGCGTAGATTCGTTCCTCCAGATCTTCATTTTCCCGTCACGAGTGATAACGAACGTGATGGTGTCGCTCATCTTGAAACTCCAGCTGGGGTCGCTGACCACGATCCAGTACCCTGATCTGGTCAGAAACGACCCGACGTCATCCGGGAGATCTTTCTCCAGAAGAGAGGGATTGGATGATGTTAAACCCACGATTAGTCCACCTGTAGATCTACAATCTATGTCTAAAATTTTGACCACGACGTGTTCTCCAGCTTTGATAGGGTTAGCGGTGAAGGCATAACTCGTGGTTAACCTTCTGTCATACTTGGACACTTGATTCTTGACTAGCTTGACGTTTCGGCCCCTGGTTTGATGCAACGTCATCGGTACCAACCCCTGGTTGGACAAGTAGAACGTCGAATTGACCACCTCGATGGTCGTAGGTGGGCTACTGATGTGGATGAACGCCCATAAAGACTCCTGGGTGGGTGTCAACCCTCCCCTACACCCTTTCTCCTTACCATCCACCCCGAAGTGGATTTTCCCAGACGGGGTGTAAAAGAAGTGCACGTTCTTGTTCTTGAGACGTTTGTGGTTCTTCAAGGAGACGATCTTCAGATTGTAGATGGGCTCATGGGTTTGCGTTGGGTGTTGGGTGCTGAAACCCACGCTCACTATGTCTTTGGTTTGATCGGAGATTTTGGACAGCTTGAACGACAGTTTTTGGTAGGGTTTGAGGGGGTGGGAGGTGAAGACGAGCCCGGAGCCGACGGCGGTTCGCTGGGCGGTGGTGTAGTTGTTGGCGAGGCGGAGGTCGTCCCCGTGGTGGGGGTGGAAACGCAGGGGTGAGGCTGGGGGTGTGTCCTGAAGAACCAAAATCATGTTTGTGTTGTGGGTGAGGGAGTTTACGTACCTGCGACATTGTTGGAGGTTTGGTTTAAAATGGTTGTCGTTTGGTGGTGATAAGATAGTGATTATCAGCGGATGTATTGGATATCGTCGAACTTTTTTTTTTCTTGAGTTGTGTGTACGTATAATCTATTTTTTTTTTGGTGAGGATTATGGCGTCGAAGTTGATTCGCGAAAAATGACCACAAAGCACTGTGTTTATCGCCGGTTTAATTACACGTTGTAAAAACGTCAGACGTGTTTATTTGTGGTTTTAAATTACACAGTTTGTTTCCGTTATTTTTTTATGGCTTGTTTGTTGATTGTCACAAATGGAATTAATTTATCAATAGAAACGTGCCGCCACTCAGTCAAATTATTCTATATATTGTGATATAAAATCAATTAACGCAACCCAATTGCGAAACTGAGATTAATTAACTCTGTAAACGTGACCGAGATTTCTTAACAGAAAGATTTCATTATCTCGAGAAACATGAAGTTTTATTTACAGAGAAATATAGAGCAACACAACGATTTTAAAATTTCAACAGGATGGTATACGTTGTGACGAAATGTGATAAGCTGTGTCTGTGTTCTCGGGGTCTTAGAAACCTCGATTTCCGGCAAAAATGAAAGAATATTGTTTGATAGAGATGGCTAGAGATTTTAGTCGCAGAACGATTTATAAGGATCAGTAATCTTATCTTTAACGTAATTAGACGACTAAAGCTTAAATTCTCTAAAATATTGTCTATTTTTGTTACCGGATATCATGCCTTGTAATCAATTCAAAATCAGTAAAACTGTCGTAATGGGTATATGTAACAGTGTATTTAAATGTGAAAGTATCTAAACCTGGCTAAGCGCGCAACGCACCCTGAATAATCTCGAATTTCCTTTGGTAAAATCTTAGCAAGTACTAGCCCCACCCGCCCGCCCTCTTATTTTCTTACAGGATGTGTCCTTTGGCAAAATCAGTCTTTTCTGGGCAAGTACTAGCCCCGCCCACCCACCCTCTATTTTCTTAGGGGTTATGTGATTTGCCAAAATCACTCTTATCTGGGCAAGTACTAGCCCCGCCCACCCGCCCTCTATTTTCTTACAGGGTATGTCATTTGCCGAAATCAGTCTTGTCTTAGCAAGGTACTCCTCATTTTTTTTAAATTGACGTTTGTTCCTACAAAAAAGTTGATGACTTCGTCACTAAATTTTTTTTAAGGAAAACTCGCCGGAAATAAGTATGTGCTTGTTTATCTGTGGTTTGAAAACCGCATTTATTTTTATTTTAGCTTACAACGGAATCACAAAAAAAAACGGAATTCACAGAATCAAATTTTATTATTTATCTCAGAAATTGGATTTGTCTGTTTGTGTTTCAAGGACTAGGGCAGTTCTGTGTAAATTATTATTATTTGGTATTTTATTTTGAAAGAATTTAAAGACTTTGGCGTTTGGTTTTTGAAAGCTTTTTTTTAAATGAGGTGCCCCTGGTTTTATTTTATTTTATTTTATTTATTTTTTTTTAATTGAAAAATCAATATTTTCTTTTAAGAAAGTTCAAAGGAATCTTGGGGGCCCGAATGTGGTTTTTTTTTTTTTAATTTGAAAAGGTGATGTTTTGTTTTGATAAATCACATCACAAAATTTTGCAATGGAAAACTCACTTGAAACATACGCGTAGCATACTTATTTACATTTACTATAATATTACATACATAGATATCTTTATTTTAACTTGTAAGAGTTATCGTAAAAAAATAAAATTCGCAAAATCAAATCTTACAATTTTTTGATAAATCTGGGTTTGTTTACCCTCGATCAATCAATTTTTTGATATCACAATGTTTCGTTTTTCCTTTTTGTTCGATTTTTCAATGTTTCGGTTTCAATATTTTTGATTTTTCGATTCCCCGATTTTCCAAATTTTAAATTTTTGAATTTTACATTTTTTGGATTTCCAGTTATCCGAGTTCCTTAAATTTCAATATTTAGATTTTACAATACATATTTGATTTTCTCGATTTTGTACTTGATTTCTAAATTTTTAATCTTTGGATTTTGGAATTTTTCGCTTCTTCAATTTCTCAAGTTCTTTATTTCCAATTTTTCGATTTTTCAATGTTTCGGTGTCAATATTTTTTTGTTCTTTCAAGTTTTATTTTAATTATTTTTCAGTTTCTTGACTTCCAAATTTTTTTAAATTTTCGATTCAATTTTCAATTTTTCAGGTCTTGATTTTCATTTTCTGGATTTTATATCACAATTTTCGTTTTTTCTTTTATTTAATAATTTCAAATTTTTCATTTTTGATTTTTCGATTCCCCGAGTTTCCAAATTTTAAATTTGAATTTTGCAATTTTTGGATTTCAAGTTATCCGATTTCTTTAAATTTCAATATTTCGATTTTACAATACATATTTTATTTTATTCGATTTTGGACTTGATTTTTAAATTTTTAATCTTTGGATTTTGGAATTTTTCGCTTTTTCAATTTCTCAAGTTCTTTATTTCCAATTTTTCGATTTTTCAATGTTTCGGTTTCAATATTTTTTGTTCTTTCGATTTTTCAATGTTTCGGTTTCAATATTTTTTGTTCTTTCAAGTTTAATTTAAAAAACTTTTCAATTTCTTGACTTCCAAATTTTTCAATTTTTCGATTCAATTTTCGATTTTCAATTTTTCAAGTCTTGATTTTCATTTTTTCATTTTCCAGATGTGTTAATTTTCATTTTCTGGATTTTATATCACAATTTTCGTTTATTCTTTTATTCAATATTTTTAAATTTTTGAATTTTGCAATTTTTGGATTTCCAGTTGTCCGATTTCTTTAAATTTCAATATTTCGATTTTACAATACATATTTTATTTTTCCGATTTTGTATTTGATTTTTAAATTTTTAATCTTTGGATTTTGGAATTTTTCGCTTCTTCAATTTCTCGAGTTCTTCATTTCCAATTTTTCGATTTTTCAATGTTTCGGTTTCAATATTTTTTGTTCTTTCAAGTTTAATTTAAAAAATGGTTCAATTTCTTGAGTTCCAAATTTTTTAATTTTTCGATTCAATTTTCTATTTTCAATTTTTCATGTCTTCAGTTTAATTTTTTCATTTTCCCGGTGTCTTAATTTTCATTTTCTGGATTTTATATCACAATTTTCGTTTTTTCTTTTATTCAATATTTTCAAATTTTCCATTTTTGATTTTTCGATTCCCCGATTTTCCAAATTTTAAATTTGAATTTTGCAATTTTTGAATTTTACAATGTTTGGATTTCCAGTTATATGATTTCTTTAAATTTCAATATTTCGATTTTACAATACATATTTTATTTTTTCGATTTTGTACTTGATTTCTAAATTTTTAATCTTTGGATTTTGGAATTTTTTGCTTCTTCAATTTCTCAAGTTCTTTATTTCCAATTTTTCGATTTTTCAATGTTTCGGTGTCAATATTTTTTGTTCTTTCAAGTTTAATTAAAAAAAAATTAAATTTCTTGACTTCCAAATTTTTCAATTTTTTTATTCAATTTGCGATTTTCATTTCTTCATTTTCCCGATGTCTTAATTTTCATATTCTGGATTTTATATCACAATTTTCGTTTTTTTTTTTTTTCTATTATTCAATATTTTCAAATTTTCCATTTTTGTTTTATCGATTCCCCGATTTTCCAAATTTTAAACTTTTGAATTTTGCAATTTCTGGATTTCCAGTTATCCGATTTCTTTAAATTTCAGTATTTCAATTTGACAATACATATTTTATTTTTTCGATTTTGTACTTGATTTTTAAATTTTTAATCTTTGGGTTTTGGAATTTTCCGCTTCTTCAATTTCTCAAGTTCTTTATTTCCAATTTTTTTATTTTTCAAGGTTTTCTTCATTTTATACTTTCGTTTTTTCATTTTTGATTTTTGAATTTGACAATTTTACAATTTTTCCATTTTTTTATTTGAAAAGTTGAAAAATCAAAGAACTGAAAAAACGAAAAATTACAAAATAGAAAAATCGCAAATTGAAGAACTGATGAAACGAAAAATTGGAACATTGAAAAACTAAAAAGGGAGGAACTTAAAAATTGAAAAAAAATCAATGAATCGAAAAATTGGAAAGAGGAAATATCGAATTAAATCGAAAAATTGGTAAATCCAAAAGTTATAAAATCGAAAAGTTGAAAAATTAAATCTGGAGAAATTGAAAAATTAAAAATCGCAAAATTGAAAAATCTAATAAATTAAAAAGTTTAAAAATCCAGTAAATGAAAAATGTAAACATTCTAAACTCGTAAAATTGAAAATTTGATTTTTTTTTTAAATTATGATTATTAATACATATTTAAAATGACCACTAGAAAAATTGAAGAAACGAAAAACTGAATAATCAAGAAACTGAAAAATCTAAAATTGCGAAACGAAAAATAAAAAAATTTAGAAGCTGATTAATCGAAAAATCCAAAACCGAAAAACTGCAAATCGAAAAATTGAAAAACTTTACTTACAAAAAAGAAAAATTATAGAATCAGAACATTGAAAAATAATGAGCATAAAAAACCGAAACGAAAAATTCAAAAATTAAAAATTGAAAACTCGTGTTTTATTTTTCAAATTTTTTTTAAAAATCCAGGGGATCCCCATAGAAGTGTTTAAAAGAATCTTGGGGACACTGGGGTTTTAATTTTGAAATATTTTTTTTTAATATAGGATTTTTATAGGGGGGGGGGCTTGGCGTTTTATGTTTGAAAAAAATTTTAATCTGGGGAACCCCCGATGCTTTGTTTTTGGAAATGATTTGAATGGGGCTACTGTTTCATTAAAAAATAAATAAATAAAAATTAATTTTTTGTTTTTAAAAAAGTTCGAAGAATTCTGGGGGCCCTGATATTTTATTTTTTAAAGGGTAAAAAAAACCTGGGTGTCCCCGAGTGTTGTTTTTGAAAGAGTGTGAAAGAATCATGGGCGCCTGTAATTTTTCATTTTTCAAAACATTTTTGATTTTTGAATTTGACAATTTTACAATTTTCAAAAAATCAAAGAACTGAAAAATTACAAAATTGAAAAATCGCAAATCGAAGACTGATGAAACCAAAAATTGAAACATTGAAAAACTAAAAATCGAGGAACTTAAAAATTGAAAATGTCAATGTATCGAAAAAATGGAAAGAGGAAATAACGGATCAAATCGAAAAATTGGTAAATCCAAAAATTATAAAATCGAAAATCTGTATCATCGAAAGATCGAAAAATTTAAAATTAAATCTGGAGAAATTGAAGAATAAAAATCGCAAAATTGAAAAATCGAATAAATGAAAAAGTTTCAAAATCTAGTAAAAGAAAAGTGTGTAAACGTTCTAAACTCCTAAAATTGAGAACGTGAATAATTAAAAAAAAAATTGCAATTCAAAAATTGAAGAAAAGAAAAACTGAGTAATCGAGAAACTGAAAAATCTAAAATTGAAAACCGAAAAACTGTAAATTGAAAAATTGAAAAATTTCACTTGAAAAAAAATTATAAAACTAGAACATTGAAAAACCGACAAAATGAAAAATAAAGAACATAAAAAACCGAAACGACAAAAAAAAAGAAAAATTATAAAAATGTTTGTTTTGAAGAGTTCTAAGGAATCGGGGGGCTCATGACGTCTTTTATTAAAGAATGTGAAGGAATCTTGGTGCTCCCCGCTTTTTATTTTTGGAAGAATTTTTCAAAAAATTTAAAAAGTTATTGTTTTGTTTTTAAAAGTTTGAAGGAATCATGGGAATTCATAGTTAGTGCCTTTTATTCTTTTATTATTTTTGGAAAAATTTTAAAAAATGTTAAGGAATCTTGGAGGTTTTGGGGTTTAATTTTTGATTTTTTTTTTTAATTAGCGAATCTAGTGGTACTTTGTTTCTGAAAGAATTTGAGTCAATCTTGCCTAGTGTCTTTTAATAAAGAATATGAAACAGTCTTGTTGGCCTCCCAGTTTTATTTTTAAGTTTTTTTAATTTAGGGGATCCCCAGTATTTCGTTTTTGAAAGGGTTTGAAAAAATCTTGGAGGGACTTCGAATTTTATTTTTGAAAAAACTTGAAAAATTAGTGTAGTATGTGGGCACCTGGGCTTTTCATTTTTGAGTAATTTGAAAAAACCCTTGACATGTTGTTTCTTAAATAGTTTGAATTAAATCTGAAATAGTCCACTTTCGTCTTGTCACGAGAAAAGTATGTCAGGATCGTACAAACACCTAGTATAAATATGACCAAGCTGTTATTTGGAACACGAAGTTGGAAAAAAGTCAACACAAATAATGTTAAACAAAAACAAATTTCAAATTGAAGAGCACAGTTTTATCAGAGTGTTACTAATATCCAGGAAGTATTGTTGAGTGTTTGATTGAAGAGAATGGCATATGTGGATGTGGAAGGTCAGCTTAAAGATAAAAGTGAACAAACAAAGATAAAGAAAATTGTATTTTTGACATTAAAGTGCTAGTAAACATTGAAAGTAATTTATTGCGATAAAGATTAATTATTGCGTATGCAACCAGTTGTACCAACATTAATTTCGTTGCATTGCAGGTGGTGTGTGGTAACCACCTACACTCAAATGCATCCTTTGCTATAAAAATAAGCATTGTCGTAGTTCGTAATAGATTCCACTCGCCTTTGTATTGAAATGAATCGAAAAATTGAGACGCAAAAAATCACCTTGACAGACCGACGCAAATAAAACCATAAAACAAAAAAAATATATAAACACAAATAAAATGATACCGACACGGACATTGACCACGCCACTAATTACTCTGCGATTAGTTAATACCACCGAAACCCAAAACCACCGTCATTGTCCAAACCTCACCCTGACTCATCCCATTTCTCCAAAACCCTATAAATAAATCACGAAACGCGCCAAAACACCGTTATTATTATCACACGTTTGCAAACAGCAGCCTTTTCCGCACACTGCGCTGCAGTCGCGCGATAACAATCCACTGATAACAGCTGATAAAGCAAAAACATGAAGACGTAAACAGTGCACCGACAGCGCGACAATGGGACAAGTAAGCACAAAATCCTCCACTTTCCCCAAACTCATTGTTCAAACCTCCAGTCGTCGTCCAAACAAACAAAAATAACCTTCCACAAAAACCACGGCGAGGACATCGAACTGAGCGACGAGACGGCCGCCGTCCGCGTGGAGAACAGAGCCACCTGTTGGAGCAACGGCCTCGTCTTCAGCGCCGACCCGGTCAAGCCCAACCAGAAGCTCTACGTGAAGTTCGTGGTGGTGTCGCGGACCTGCCACGACGTGGTGAGCGTGGGGTTCACCTCCAACGACCCCGCGGACGTGCGCTACAGCGAGACGGAGAGCGAGAACACCTCGTGGACGTGCACATTATCCAAGTATTTCTGCGTGGAAGACGCGGTGGTGTGCTTCCACGTGAACTCGTCGGGGACGCTGCACTACGGAAAGGCCAACGGCCCGCAGCACAAGGTCTGGAACAAGAAGGTGGACGTGAGCAGGCCGGTGTGGGCCGTGGTGCACATCTGGTCGGAGCCGACGACGGTGAAGCTGGTGGGACCCAACGAGGTGCGGCAGAGCGTGTACGGGGGGCAGGAGGAGGTGGCGGCGAGGCTGAGCGGGGACGTGGGGAGGAGGGTGACGAGGGATGCGGTCACGGATGCGGCAGCGAGCGACGACGAGTCGTGTACTATTTGCTACGTGAATGGGGTGGAGGTGGTGTTTATACCGTGTGGACACCTGTGTGCGTGTTTCCAGTGTGGGCAGACGATAGTGAGGCATGATAATTTGTGCCCGATTTGTAGGAAGGGGATTGGGAGTACGGTGAGGGTGTACAGGTCGTGATGGTTTTATTTGGTCGATGAAAAATATCGTATGACTTGACTTGTTGCCAACGTGCATATTAAATAATTAGAGTATTATTTTTTGTGTTCTCTGACCTTTGTTGTTACCCATTTATTTGTAACTGTCGTACGTTGTGCAAAAAATGGTGGCCAATGTTTTCAGACGCAAGTGGTGAAATAGAAGAAAAAAATTATCCCAAAACCGATTCTACCCTTATATGATCATCATTCTTCTTGTTTGCATGTTCAAGGGGTGTAATAGTATGTATCAAGTGCTCGGTTGGTGTGGTGCGGACTGTAATTTAATTCGGGAAAATTAAATACGCCTTCTACGGCTTTAAATGCAATTTTTTAACATTTTGTGTTGGTCTGTTCAATTTTTACTTCGGTGTAAATAAAAAAAATGCTTACCTTAATGGTACTTTTATTTTTAATTGTAGCTAGGTTTTTGCTAAGACAGGTTTAACTGGTATTGACTGAAATTAATAAAGTTTTTTTTATATATAATTTGTGTTTTAAAACAGAAAAGTGTGGATATTTTATGAAAATGTTGCTAGTAGAGTGGAAATGAAAATTCTAAACAAAAAAGAATTAAAAATATTATGGTAAAGTGCACCATAAAAATACAGGTGTCCTATTGGTTATTAAATTATAATATTTTAGAATTTTTAAACAAACACTTTTGTAAAATTTAAAAATATATTGTTGTTTCAACAGAAGAAAACTAAATTCTATATCACTACAACAGAACACTGTATAAAATATTTTTAATCTGCTAAAAAAAATCGTACTTTTTTCTTTATCTAATAATGAGATACCTGTATAATTTAATGTTTACATGTCAAGGTTGTTCTGCGGTAAACTTGAATTTAAATCTGCTTTGGAGTATTCGGTTCATTTAATATTGAAAGACGAATATTTGCAAATTAATTTTTTTTTTTTTTTTCAATTCAAAGGGAGATAACTCTAGAATGGTTCAAAAGTCCGCATTGCTCCTCGAAGCTTTTTAGTACCACGAACAAATTTTCAGACCGGAGATTTAATCCGTTTAGTCTGGAGAGACGAGTATATAGGCCAGTACCATTTTCAAATTAAAAGTTGGAGAAAATTTTTAGACCTGACGTTCGATCCATTTAGTGTAAAGAGACGAATATATATGTAGGATGGTACCATTTTCAAATTATTATAATTATTTTTTTTTTTCAATTTAAAAGGACAACTCCAGAACTGTTCAAAAGTTTGAATTGCCGTTTGGAGTATTCGATTCCTCGAAGCTTCCTTATCTTTGGAGAAAATTTTCAGATCTGACGTTCGATCCATTTAGTGTTAAGAGATGAATATATGTAGAAGATGGTACCATTTCCAAATTAAAACAGTTTTTTTTTTCAATTCAAAGGGAGATAACTCCAGAAAGGTTCAAGAGTCCGCATTGCGGTTTGAAGTATTCGATTGCCCGAAGTACTGCTAACAAATTATCAGAAGACTTAATCCGTTTAGTCTGGAGAGACGAATATACCGGGTGTCTGTACGAGGGTTTCGGGAGTCCCAAAACGTAATTTCATTTCGGAGGTTTCCACGGTCGGAATCAATACATGATCGTTTTCCAGGTTGGAACCGTGTAAATTCAGCTTTTGGGCTCAACGTTTTGCACACTTTCGTAAGTGGCATCATACTGAGTTACCGTGCTCTTTTGCCTTCTTGTTAACCCTGCTCCTAAAGATGCCACTTACGAAAGTGTGCGAAACGTCGAGCCCAAAAACTCAATTTACACGGTTCCAGCCCGGAAAACGTAATTTTATAAAAATAAAATTGGATAAAACTGATTTTGGCAAATGACATACCTTCTAAAAAAGGAGAGGGTGGGTGGGTGGGGCTAGTAGCTGTCAAGATAAGACTGATTTTGGCAAATGAGAAACCTTCTAAAAAACAGAGGGTGGGTGGGCGGGGTTAGTACCTGTTAAAATAAGGCTAATTTTGGCGAATAACATACCTTCTAAGAAAAGAGAGGGCATATTTTTTTTTATTTTTCACTTTTTCGAGTTTTAAGTTTTTCAATTTTTAATTTTTCGATTTTTCAAATTTTCGTTTCTTCAAATTTTCATGTTTGATTTTCACTTTTGACCTTTTTCAAGTGCTCATTATATACTTTTTTGTTTTTTATTTTTTATTTTTCAATTTTACAGTTTCTTGACTTCTAAATTTTTCAATTTTTCGAGTTGCAATTTTTTAATTTTGGAATTTTTCGATTTTTCACATTCTCAGTTTTTAATTTTTGTCATTTTCAATTTTTCGTTTCCTCAATTTTTCACGTTTTCGATTTTTATTTTTCGTTTTCCCGATTTTTTTAATTTTCATCTTCTCGATTTTATGTCACAAATTTTCATTTTTTCAATTCCTTTATTTCTTGTTGTTTCTTTAGATTTTTCAATTTTTCGTTTCTTCAATTTTTCGAATTTTAAGTTTCTCAATTTTTAATCTTTCGATTTTTCAAATTTTTGTTTCTTCAAATTTTCATGTTTGATTTTCACTTTTGACATTTTTCAGTGTTCGTTATATACTTTTTCGTTTTTTTTATTTTTGATTTTTCAATTTTGCAGTTTCTTGACTTCTAAATTTTTCAATTTTTCGAGTTGCAATTTTTTAATTTTGGAATTTTTCGGTTTTTCACATTCTCAGTTTTTAATTTTTGTCATTTTCAATTTTTCGTTTCCTCAATTTTTCAAGTTCTCGATTTTTATTTTTCGTTTTCCCGATTTTTTTAATTTTCATCTCGATTTTATGTCACAAATTTTCATTTTTTCAATTCCTTTTTTTTGTTGTTTCTTTCGATTTTTCAATTTTTCGAATTTTCAGCTTCGCACTTTTTTCATTTCCACAATTTTTCATGATCCCGATTTTTATTTTTCAATGTGGCGACTTTTAATTTTAATTTTTTCGATTTATATCACAATTGTCCGTTTTTTTATTTCCTTTATTTTCTGTGCTTTTTTTCGATTTTACAATTTTTCAAATTTTCAGGCTTTGAATTTTCAGTTCGTCCATTTTTCAATTTTTAAATTTTTCACTTTATGGTTTTTGGATTTCCAGTCTTCCGATTATCCAAATTCTTTAATTTTAAATATTTCTATTTCATAATATGTTTCTTTTTTTTGATTTTTCACTTTTTCGATTCTTAAGATTTTTCAAGTTTTGATTTTGTAATTTTTCGGTTTTTAGGTTTTCATTTTTCGATTTTTCAGTTTTTCAATTTTTAATTTTTCCCTTTTCCAATTTTTTGTTTCTGATTTTTATTTTTCATTTTTCCAATTTTTTAATTTTCACTTTTTCAATTTTATATCACAATTTTTCGTTTTTTTCATTTCCTTTATGTTTTGTTGTTTCTATCGATTTTACGATGTTTCGTTTATTCAATTTTCAAATTTTCAGGTTTTTTCACTTTTTACATTTTTCAAGTTTTTATTATACACTTTTTCGTTTTTTTATTTTTGATTTTTCAATTTTACAGTTTCTTGACTTCTAAATTTTTCAATTTTTCGAGTTGTAATTTTTTAATTTTGCAATTTTTCGATTTTTTACATTCTCAGTTTTTAATTTTTGTTATTTTCAATTTTTCGTTTCCTCAATTTTTCAAGTTCTCGATTTTTATTTTTCGTTTTCCCGATTTTTTTCATTTTCATCTTCTCGATTTTATGTCACAAATTTTCATTTTTTCAATTTCTTTATTTCTTGTTGTTTCTTTCGAATTTTCAATTTTTCGAATTTTCAGCTTCTCAGTTTTTTCATTTCCACAATTTTTCATGTTCCCGATTTTTATTTTTCAATGTGGCGAATTTTTAATTTTTATTTTCTCGATTTATACATATCACAATTGTCCGTTTTTTCATTTCCTTTATTTTCTGTGCTTTTGTTTCGATTTTGCAATTTTTCAATTGTTCAATTTTTCAAATTTTCAGGCTTTGAATTTTCAGTTCGTCCATTTTTCAATTTTTAAATTTTTCAGTTTGTGGTTTTTGGTGTTTCTTTTTTTTTGATTTTTCACTTTTTCGATTCTTAAGATTTTTCATGTTTTCATTTTGTAATTTTTCGGTTTGCATCAGTTTTTCAATTTGGCAATTTTTCAATATTACATATTTTCATTTTTCGATTTTTCAATTCCTCAATTTTTAATTTTTCCCTTTTCCAATTTTTTGTTTCTGATTTTTATTTTTCAATTTTCCGATTTTTAATTTTCAGTTTTTCGATTTTATATCACGATTTTTCGTTTTTTCATTTCCTTTATGTTTTGTTGTTTCTTTCAATTTTACGATTTTTCGTTTATTCAAATTTTCAGGTTTTTTTTCCTTTTTACATTTTTCAAGTTTTTATTATACACTTTTTCGTTTTTTTTTGATTTTTCAATTTTACAATTTGACGACTTCCAAATTTTCCAATTTTTCAATATTACAATTTCTCATTTTTCCATTTTTCACATTCTCGATTTTTAATTTTTCCCTTTTTCAATTTTTCGTCCCCTTAATTTTTCAATTCCCCGATTTTTATTTTGCACTTCCCTGATATTTTATTTTTCATTTTCTCGATTTTATAACACAATTTTTTGTTTTTTCATTTCCTTAATTTTTGTTGTTTCGATTTTCCAATTTTTAAATTTTTCAGTTTGCAATTTTTGGGTTTCCACCCCTTTTTTACTTTTTGGATTTTCAATTTTTCGTTAAACTTTAGATTTTTCAAATTTTCGACAGATTTATACTTCGATTTCTCAATTTTTTTTCAACTTTTCGATGTTTTAATTTCTCAATTTATCAGTTTCTAAATTTTTTTCTATTTCTCGATGTTTCGATTTTTGGATTTCTCGGTTTTTCGATTTTCCAATTTTTCGATTTTTTCTTTTTTGATTCTTTGATGTTTGGATTTCTCCATTTTTCGATTTCCGGATTTTTTGATTTTCCAGTTCTTCAGTATTTCTATTTTCCAATTTTTCAAATTTTGACGTTGCTAAATTTTCAAATTTCCGATTTTTCAATTAATATATTTTTTTGATTTTCCCGTTTCTCGAACTCGCAGTTTCGATTTTTCAGCCCTTCAATTCTTCGATTTTTGGATTTTTCGGTTGGCTAATTTTTTAATTTCTCAATTTTGGATATTTGTTTCAGTTTTGGTATTTTTCATTAGTTCTATTTTTCGACTTCTCGATTTTTTATTTTTTCGATTTTCAGTTTTTCGTTTTTTAAACTTTAGATTTTTCAGTTTTCGACTGTTTTAATTTTTCTTTTTTCCGAATTTTTTATTTTATGATTTCTCAATTTTTCAATTTTTAATTTCCCAATTTTTGGATATTTCGTTCAATTTTGTGAGTTTTCTGTTTTTCGATTCTTCAATTCTTCAATTTTGGGATTTTTTAGTATTTCAACTTTTGGATTTTTCACGTTCTGGATTTTTCGATTTCTTGACTTTTTACTTTTTGGATTTTCAATTTTTCGTTTTTTGAATTTTCGGTTTTCACAATCTTTCAACTTTGCGAAATTTTAAGTTTTCAATTTTTAAAATTTTAGGTTTTTCGATTTCTCGAGTTTTTAGTTCTTCCATATTTGAATTCTTCAATTTTCGGTATTTAAAGTTAATTATAAGTTACTTTTTTAAAAGACAAATAAATCAATGTTTTCTTTGGGAGGTTCAAACTCAACTATGTTAAATTGTTTAAATATACCAGAGTGGTTTAAATTAAAACCTAGAGAAAATTTATTAAAAAAATTATTGTCCATTTTACAACATTTCGTAAGTGTCTACAACAACATTGTTGTCTTAGTTCTTCCGAAAAAACTGTTGGTAAAAATATAGGCAGATTAATAAACTACAAGTATAGAACCTGGGAAATCCCCAATTCCTCAAACGGAGTTTATTAATTTCACTAGTTAAGCAAAGAAAAATAAGAGATTATAGAACTGACTACACACACAGGGGACCCTAAACGCGGAATTTGTCGACTTTTAAAATCTAAACTGGCCCCTCATCTTAATAATTGGGTGAAGCTATCAAGTGAAAGATTTGTAGATCTGTGTTATCATTATTAGCAAAATTAATTAACAGAGTGAGTGTTTTGAACACGATATGACTAATCTTATCACTAAAACATTGATATGTCTTGATTTGAAATTTGATGGATTGCAAAAATCAGCGTCATATATTTGTGGGAAAAACAAATAATTCGTGGTATTTCAACATTAAGATAATGTCTTTTTAAAGAGTGTGCCGGCCATTGCGAAAGCGAGCTGCACTATAATGTGCCGCCTATCGCAAAAAACGAATATACTACGTATATAAAATAGTAAAAATACTAAATTTTCTTATAATTTCCTTTCCTTTGCAGATCGACAGCACAAGCTGCTGGTGTAGGCAACATCTACGACCGAGTTCTCTCTGAACTCGTGAACAAAATGAAAGAAATGAAAATGGACAAAACCGAACTAGGATGCTTAAGAGCCATCATCCTGTACAATCCCGGTGGGTTCGAAGTATTATCTATTAAAATAACAATAATAATAATAACTCGTGTGTTGTAGATGTGCGCGGAATCAAGTCGGTCACAGACGTCGAGATGTTTCGCGAAAAAATCTACGGAGTGCTCGAAGAATACACCAGAACCACCCACCCCAACGAGCCTGGGAGGTTCGCCAAGCTGCTGCTGCGTCTGCCGGCGCTGAGGTCCATCGGTCTCAAGTGCCTCGAGCACTTGTTCTTTTTCAGATTGGTCGGCGAGTGCCCGATCGACACGTTCCTCAGAGAGGTGCTGATGGATAATCAAAGAGACATCGAGGTCGGAGGTCAGGGTTAGTGCGGCCGTCTTTCCCACTTTACATATATTTTTTTAACTATTTAAACTTTTACGAATCTGTGATGTATCTATTAAATGGAATATCTCTAAAATTTTGGAAGAGGGTATTATTAGATGTATATTATGGGAAGACGCCGATTGGATTTCTGATTTTTGTTGTACAATAGTTTAAGAGGAGATAAGTTGTAGCATATTTATTTTTATTTATGAGTTATGAGCTTGGAAATTCGCAGCTGTCGAGATTGTTGCATAGAATAGATCTCACTTTGACGCTTCGGTTACTCCAGGGCCTAATTACTTGGGTCGCTCGATTCAAGCACAGATGACGCAGGGAGTTAGTTTTAACCTCTAACCATAGGTAGCGTAGACGTCAGTGTTTTGAGGATCATCGGAGACCATATCCATTTGTTACACTCTATATATATTATATCAATAAAATTATTTTAATTTTTTCGACGTATTTTCATTGTTGTGGACCTCGACTTTCGCTCAGTATTATCTATCCATCTTTGGCAGCTTGTAAATTCACATTCCAGGAGCGCCGTTACTTAAAACCGGCCTACAATGTTGTTACAATCTATGGTCGTTCTGTGTGTATATAACTCTGTTCAAGTTTCGATATTTTAATTGTTAATTATAATTTATAGTTTATAGTTCTCATTAACTTTTATAAAAAAATGTCACTTATTTAATAATAAACTCTTTAAATACAATCTTTTATTTAGTTTGAGGTGGTTTCTTCAGAAAACCGACTTGACGTAAATAGCGCACGATGAAGGGGGTCGCCGTTAACGTGACCATTATTCTTGCTGGAGCGAACACTTTGTGGACGGCGTAGGCCACGGCGAAAGTCCCAGCGCTCGCCGCCACTTTCGTAGCCTCAATACCCACCATACTCATCACCTTTTGGGCGTCCAAACCACTGAAAAACTAACTTATTTAAAATCAACACGCAAATAACTACAACCTTGATACTAATAAATAACAGACACCCAACGAAAGCAGCGAAATCCCCACGTGAAAAACAATCACCGTGGAGCCATATTCCGCCACTGCTTTTTTTAGTTTTTGTTGGAGGGTGACTGGGGTGTTGTTTGGTGGTGGATTTTGCGTACTATAGAATCGTGTTGATAGAGAGCCGAACACAGTGTGAGGGGTTGTTGGTGGACGGAACAAAAATAAAGGAGACCTACTGGATTGGTTTTGGGGAAGGCAACACAACGTCCTTTGGGGGTTGACGCGAAGGCGAGGAATGTTTCTAACGAGAAGGGCCATTTTCGTCAAGTCATCGGTGAAAAACACTCGAGTTTGGACTTAACCTAAAACTAGCGTGTCATGTTTTGACAGCTGGCATTTGTCAATTAAACGTCATACGTCAAAACAACATTAAAATGGTAGGCAACCAGTAAATCACCCATTAAGATCTATTCCGATGTTTATAAATTATAATTTTTCGACAATGTGAGTTTTCCGCCACGAATGGTCGATTTAGTAACCATGTCAAGATTCTCAAGCATTATGTGACTGAAGGTAATGTCTGAAACCGTCAAATGAAGGCAAGTTCATTTTTCCATTTTTTCGAAATTTCAGTTTTGGGTTTTTTCAGATTTATTTATTATTCAATTTTTCGATTTTACAATTTCTCTATTTTCAATTTCTCGATATCTCAATTTTTCGGTGTTTCTGTTAAAAACGGTTTTTCAATTATTCTCTTCAATTCTACGATTTTTAAATATTTTCATATTTCAATTTTTGAGTTTTCTAAATTCTCAATATTTCGATTTTTCAATTAATCGATGTTTTGATTTTTCCATTTCTTGATTTTCTACTGTTTCGATTTTCCAGTTCTTCAATTCTTCAATTTTTCGATGTTTCAGATTTTTTGACTTTTCAAATTTTTCAAGTTTTAAGGTTTCGATTTTTCGACTTTACTTTTTGATTTTTAGGTTTCTCAGTTTTTCAATTTTTTAATTTCTTAGTTTTTGGATATTTCAGTTTTTCCATTCTTCAGTTTTTCTTTCATTTTTCAATTTTCCGAAATTTCAGTTTTGGGATTTTTCAGATTATTTATTATTCAATTTTTCGATTTTACAATTTCCCAATTTTTCAATTTCTCGATTTTTCAATTTTTCGATGTTTCAGTTTTACGTTTTTTCAATTTTTCTTTTCAATTTTACGATTTTTCAATTTTTCAATTTTTGAGTTTTCTAAATTCTTAATATTTCGATTTTTCAATTAATCGATGTTTTGGATTTCCCATTTTTTGATTTTCCACTGTTTCAATTTTCCAGTCCTTCAATTCTTCAATTTTTCGATGTTTCAGGCTTTTTGATTTTTCCATTTTTCAATTTTTAAGGTCTCGACTCGTCGAGTTTACTTCTTGATTTTTAGATTTCTCAGTTTTTCAATTTTTTAATTTCCCAGTTTTTGGATATTTCAGGTTTGAGATTTTTCAGTTTTTCCATTCTTCAGTTTTTCCTTCATTTTTCAATTTTCCGAGATTTCAGTTTTGGGATTTTTCAGATTATTTGCTATTCAATTTTTCGATTTTACACAATTTTCAATTTTTAGATGTTTCAGTTTTACGTTTTTTCAATTTTTCTCTTCGATTTTACGATTTTTAATATTTAGATTTTTCAATTAATCGATGTTTTGATTTTCCCATTTCTTGATTTTCGACTGTTTTGATTTTTCAGTTTTCAGTATTTTTTAAGGTTTCGATTTTTTGATTTTTGCGATTGTTCAGTTTTTCTTTTATTTTTCAGTTTTTCGATATTACAATTTTTCAATTTCACGATTGTCAATTTTTCGATTTCTGAATTTTCCGATGTATCAATTTTACGTTCTTTCAATTTTTCTCCTCTAAACTCTCAATTTTTCGATTTTTAATTTTTTCAATTTTTCAACTTTTTAGGTTTTTGATTTTTGATTTTTTTAAGGTTTTGAATTTTCGACTTCAGTTTTTTGACTTTTTGATTTCTCAATTTTACAATTATTTCATGTTTGAGTTTTTTTCATTCTTTCTTTATTTCATTTTTCAGTTTTTCTTTCATTTTTCAATTTTCCGAAAATTCAGTTTTGGGATTTTTCAGATTATTTATTATTCAATTTTTTGATTTTACAGTTTCTCAATTTTTCAATTTCTCGATTTTTCAATTTTTAGATGTTTCAGTTTTACGTTTTTTCAATTTTTCTCTTCAATTTTACGATTTTTAAATAGTTTGATTTTTTAATTTTTCAATTTTTGAGTTTTTTAAATTCTCAGTATTTCGATTTTCTCAATTAATCGATGATTGGATTTTCCCATTTCTTGACTTTCCACTGTTTCGATTTTCCTGTTCTTCAATTCTTCAATTTTTCGATGTTTCAGGTTTTTTGACTTTTCAATTTGCAATTTTTAAGGTTTCAACTTTTCGACTTTACTTTTTGATTTTTCGATTTCTCAGTTTTTGGATATTTCAGATTTGAGATTTTTTCCATTCTTCAGTTTTTTTTTAATTTTTCAATTTTTCGAAATTTCAGTTTTGGGGTTTTTCAGATTATTCATTATTCATTTTTCGATTTTACAATTTCCCAATTTTTCAAATTCTCGATTTTCAATTTTTCGGTGTTTCAGTTAAAATCGTTTTTTTAATTTTATGATTTTTAAACACTTCGAGTTTTCAATTTTTCACTTTTCGAAATTCTCAATTTTTCGATTTTTCAATTAATCGATGTTTTGATTTTCCCTTTCTTAACTTTCGGCTCTTTCGATTTTCCAGTTCTTCAATTCTTCAATTTTTCGATTTTTCGATTTCCCAATTTTTCAATTTTTTAATATCTCAGTTTTTGGATATTTCAGGTTTGAGATTTTTCAGTTTTTCCATGTTCCAGTTTTTCTTTCATTTTTCAATTTTCCGAAATTTCAGTTTTGGGATTTTTCTGATTATTTATTATTCAATTTTTCGATTTTACAATTTTTCAATTTCTCGATTTTTCAGGTTTTTTGACTTTTCAATTTTTCAATTTTTAAGGTTTCAACTTTTCGACTTTACTTTTTGATTTTTCGATTTCTCAGTTTTTCTTTCATTTTTCAATTTTTTGAAATTTCAGTTTTGGGGTTTTTCAGATTATTCATTATTCATTTTTCGATTTTACAGTTTCCCAATTTTTCAAATTCTCGATTTTCAATTTTTCGGTGTTTCAGTTAAAATCGTTTTTTTAATTTTGTGATTTTTAAACACTTCGAGTTTTCAATTTTTCACTTTTTGAAATTCTCAATTTTTCGATTTTTCAATTAATCGATGTTTTGATTTTCCCTTTCTTAACTTTCGACTCTTTCGATTTTCCAGTTCTTCAATTCTTCAATTTTTCGATTTTTCGATTTCCCAATTTTTCAATTTTTTAATATCTCAGTTTTTGGATATTTCAGGTTTGAGATTTTTCAGTTTTTCCATGTTCCAGTTTTTCTTTCATTTTTCAATTTTCCGAAATTTCAGTTTTGGGATTTTTCTGATTATTTATTATTCAATTTTTCGATTTTACAATTTTTCAATTTCTCGATTTTTCAGGTTTTTTGACTTTTCAATTTTTCAATTTTTAAGGTTTCAACTTTTCGACTTTACTTTTTGATTTTTCGATTTCTCAGTTTTTCTTTCATTTTTCAATTTTTTGAAATTTCAGTTTTGGGGTTTTTCAGATTATTCATTATTCATTTTTCGATTTTACAATTTCACAATTTTTCAAATTCTCGATTTTCAATTTTTCGGTGTTTCAGTTAAAATCGTTTTTTTAATTTTGTGATTTTTAAACACTTCGAGTTTTCAATTTTTCACTTTTTGAAATTCTCAATTTTTCGATTTTTCAATTAATCGATGTTTTGATTTTCCCTTTCTTAACTTTCGACTCTTTCGATTTTCCAGTTCTTCAATTCTTCAATTTTTCGATTTTTGGATTTCCCAATTTTTCAATTTTTTAATATCTCAGTTTTTGGATATTTCAGGTTTGAGATTTTTCAGTTTTTCCATGTTCCAGTTTTTCTTTCATTTTTCAATTTTCCGAAATTTCAGTTTTGGGATTTTTCAGATTATTTATTATTCAATTTTTCGATTTTACAATTTTTCAATTTTTCAATTTCTCGATTTTTCAGGTTTTTTGACTTTTAAATTTTTCAAGTTTTAAGGTGTCGACTTTTCGACTTTACTTTTTGATTTTTAGATTTCTCAGTTTTTCAATTTTTCTATTTCTCAGTTATTCAATTTTTTAATTTCTTAGTTTTTGGATATTTCAGGTTTGAGATTTTTCAGTTTTTCCATTCTTCTGTTTTTCTTTCATTTTTCAATTTTTCGAAATTTCAGTTTTGGGGTTTTTCAGATTTATTTATTATTCAATTTTTCGATTTTACAATCTCCCAATTTTTCAATTTTTCGATTTCTCAATTTTTCGGTGTTTCAGTCAAAAACGGTTTTTTCAATTTTTCTCTTCAATTTTACGATTTTTCAATAGTTTGATTTTTTAATTTTTCAATTTTTGAGTTTTCTAAATTCTCAATATTTCAGTTTTTCAATTAATCGATGTTTTGATTTTCCCATTTCTTGACTTTCCATTGTTTCGATTTTCCAGTTCTTCAATTCTTCAATTTTACGATTTTTCGATTTCCCAATTTTTCAATTTTTTAATTTCGCAGTTTTTAGATATTTTAGTTTTTCGAAATTTCAGTTTTGGGGTTTTTCAGATTATTTATTATTCAATTTTTCGATTTTACAATTTCTCAATTTTTCAATTTCTCGATTTTCAAATTCTCGATATCTCAATTTTTCCGTGTTTCAGTTAAAAACGGTTTTTCAATTATTCTCTTCAATTCTACGATTTTTAAATATTTCGATTTTTCAATTTTTGAGTTTTCAAAATTCTCAATATTTCGATTTTTCAATTAATCCATGTTTTGATTTTCCCATTTCTTGATTTTCTACTGTTTCGATTTTCCAGTTCTTCAATTCTTCAATTTTTCGATGTTTCAGATTTTTTGACTTTTCAATTTTTCAAGTTTTAAGGTTTCGAATTTTCGACTTTACTTTTTGATTATTAGGTTTCTCAGTTTTTCAATTTTTTAATTTCTCAGTTTTTGGATATTTCAGGTTTGAGATTTTTCAGTTTTTTCATTCTTCAGTTTTTCTTTCATTTTTCAATTTTTCTAAATTTCAGTTTTGGGGTTTTTCAGATTATTTATTATTCAATTTTTCGATTTTACAATTTCCCAATTTTTCAATTTCTCGATTTTTCAATTTTTCGATGTTTCAATTTTACGTTTTTTTAATTTTTCTCTTCAATTTTACGATTTTTAAATATTTCGATTTTTCAATTTTTCAATTTTTGAGTTTTCTAAATTCTCAATATTTCGATTTTTCAATTAATCGATGTTTTGATTTTCCCATTTCTAGACTTTCCACTGTTTCGATTTTCCTATTCTTCAATTCTTCAATTTTTCGATGTTTCCGGTGTTTTGATCTTTCAATTTTTCAATTTTTAAGGTTTCAACTTTTCGACTCTACTTTTTAACTTTTCGATTTCTCAGTTTTTCAATTTTTTAATTTCTCAGTTTTTGGATATTTCAGGTTTGAGATTTTTCAGTTTTTCCATTTTTCAGTTTTTCTTTTATTTTTAAATTTTTCGAAATTCAGTTTTGGGGTTTTTCAGATTATTTATTATTCAGTTTTTCGATTTTACAATTTCTCAATTTTTCAATTATTTTTTTTTCATTTAAAACCTTTTTTTCAATTTTATGATTTTTAAATATGTCGATTTTTCAATTTTTAACTTTCCGAAATTCTCAATTTTTCAATTAATCAACGTTTTGATTTTCCCCTTCTTAACTTACGACTCTTTCGATTTTCCAGTGCTTCAATTGTTCAATTTTTTGATGTTTAAGGTTTTTTGATTTTTCAATTTTTAAGGTTTCGACTTTTCGGCTTTACTTTTTGATTTCTCAGTTTTCAATTTTTTAATTTCACAGTTTTTGAATATTTCAGGTTTGAACTTTTTCAGTTTTTCCATACTTCAATTTTTTTTCAATTTTCAGTTTTTCGATATTTCAGTTTTGGGGTTTTTCAAATTACTAATTATTCAATATTTTGATTTTACAATTTCTCAATTTTTCAATTTCTCGAGTTTCAATTTTCCGGTGTTCCAGTTAAAATCGATTTTTCAATTAATAGATGTTTTGATTTTCCTTTTCATGACTTTCGACTCTTTCAATTTTCCAGTTCTTCAATTCTTCAATTTTGCGATTTTTCGATTTCCTAATTGTTCAATTTTTTAATTTCGCAGTTTTTCGATTTAAATTTTTTTTCATTCTTCAGTTTTTCTTTCACTTTTCAATTTTTCGAAATTTCAGTTTTGGGATTTTTCAGATTATTTAATTTTTGGATTTTACAATTTCTCAATTTCTCGATTTTCAATTTTTCGATTTTTCAATTAATTAATGTTTCTATTTTCCCATTTCTTGACTTTCCACTGTTTCGATTTTCCAGTTCTTCAATTTTTCGATGTTTCAGGTTTTTGATTTTTCAATTTTTAAGGTTTCAACTTTACTTTTTGATTTTTTGATTTCAAAGTCTTTCAATTTTTTAATTTCTCAGTTTTTGGATATTTCAGGTTTGAGATTTTTCACTTTTTCCATTCTTCAGTTTTTTTTCATTTTTCAATTTTTCGAAATTTCAGTTTTGGGGTTTTTCAGATTATTTATTCTTCAATTTTTCGATTTTACAATTTCTCAATTTTTCAATTTCTCGATTTTCAATTTTCCGATATTTCAGTGAAAACCGTTTTTTCAATTTTATGATTTTTAAATATTTCGATTTTGCAATTAATCGATGGTTTGATTTTCCCATTTCTTGACTTTCGACTCAATTGTTCAATTTTTTAATTACTCAGTTTTTGCATATTTCAATTTTTCGAAATTTCAGTTTTGGGGCTTTCAGATTATTTATTATTCAATTTTTCGATTTTATAATTTCTCAATTCTTCAGTTTCTCAATTTCTCAATTTTTCGGTGTTTCAATTAAAAACGGTTTTTCAATTTTACGATTTTTAAATTAATGGCTGTTTTGATTTTCCTATTTCTTGACTTTCGACTGTCTTGATTTTCATGTCCTTCAATTCTTCAATTTTTCGATTTTTCAAGTTTTCGATTTTCCAATTTTTCGATTTCTCGGTTTTTCGATTTTCCAGTTTTTCGATGTTTCGATTTTCATTTATCCGATTTTTTTAATTTAGGAGTTTTGATTTCTCGATTTTTCGTTTTCCGGTTTAATTTAAAATTTTTGAATTTTTCATTTTTTCAATTTTTTGATGTTTCGACTTTCAGTTCTTCGATTTTTCAAATTTTCGCTTACTTTAATTTTTCGTTATTTTTTTTCTCACTGTTAATATCATACAATATATTGACCACAAAAATTGTCACTAAAAACATTTAAAAATTCATACAAAGATACAAAATAATATATATAGATAGATAGATAGATTGTTAATGTTGCCTATAATCTGCAAATTTTATTTAATTTTTTTATGCGCTCACTTTTTGAGAAAGTTTTAGCAAAATGTATACCTAGAAAATGGTACAGTTTTTGTTTTTCAAAACAGTAATGAAGGTCAGATGAGTCAGACACTTAACAAGATATAACATTTTCTTGATTTCAATATTTATCTGATAAATAAAATTCATTTGACCACGAATTTTCATCATACATGTGACTAATTTAATTTTGATAAAATGTTGGAAAAACATGTTAGTCAATCAACTTTGCAACATTACCTTATAAATATGACGTTTAACGTAAACAGCTTCAGTAATCAAGATGCGTTCTTCACTAGTAAACCTACTACTAATTTGTATTTTTCATTTTGGAGTTAGTAACACTAGTAACAGTGAAAAAGTTTCTTCCAAAAATGTGACAGTTCATTGGTATTTTGGTAACGAAACAGGAGAAACAGTAGCTACATCTAACAACTTTAACAAGATCTTTCCTGAGGAAGAACAAGTAACGGTGGTACTTCCCAGTGTGCAAGAAGAATTTGATTGGGACATACCATTTGCACGGCTTCTCCCTGAATGGCGTGGCTTAGACGAAATCAAACCTGGAGCTTTCGATAATTTACCGCAGTTAGAAAGTTTCATTGTGATTAGGAATAACTTGACGGAAATCAAAACTGGTACTCTTACCAATCTAAATATATCACATATAGATTTGTCATCCAACTCAATCATCCGTTTACAACAAGGAGCCTTCAAAAACATCAGTGCTGATCTTATGGAACTTGATAATAACCAACTCACAGAAATTCTAAATGATGTTTTTGAAAATGTTACCATTGGAAACTTAAGTTTGACTAATAATGGTCTCCACACTATCACACCAGAAGCTCTGTCAACAATTGGATTGACAAGTTTGTGGCTATTTGAAAATAGTTTCGAGGAAATCAACCCGGAAGTCTTTAACATGCAAGAGTTAATATCACTCAATTTGGGTTTTAACTCAATCAAGCTTCTGCGACCTGGTGATCTGAGAAACTTGCCAGAATTGTCTGAACTCATGCTTTGGTCCAACGAGTTGGAAGAAATCCCAGAAGGTGTTTTCAATGCCACCAAACTCACTTACTTGGATCTTTCTGGAAACAAGATTGTTAAAATTGCAAGTAAAGCTTTTGATGACATGCCTGAGCTTGGTAAACTTGACATTAGCTTCAATAACTTAACCCGATGGGACAATAATTGGTTGAGTGGGGCAAAATCAATTGCTTACATTTCAGTCGGTTATAATCAGATAACTGGGATTCCAGACGAAGCGTTCAAGAATTATCCTGGTGTGAAGAGTATTGGTCTTGAGGGGAATAGAATCAGAAATATTTCAAACAACGCTTTTAATAAGTTAGAGCATGTTGAGGTTTTGGATTTGTCCAATAATGAGATTGATAATTGGAATCCAAATTTCTTGGCTAATGTTAGTATTGGTATTATTGATCTTAGTGACAATAATTTAGAATGCATTGATGGAGATTTGGAGACAGTTTTCAGAAATTCAGGAAGCATCTATTTGGAGAATAATCCGTGGAATGAAGAGTGTTATGCGCATATTTCCGAGTTCATTGGGGAGGATGATGAGGAACAATACTTTGAGGACTATGATATGGAACAAGTCCCGTATCACATTAATGAAATCTAATTTTATAGTGTTTTGTGGTTTAATATATGTATATGCAGTTTTTGGTTTAATAAATATGCACTTCTTGGTTTAATACATATGCAGATAAAACTGTTGTTTTTTTTAGGGCATTTTCATTGAATTAGATATTAGGATAGATAGAAAATGGCACAATTCATTCAGATTTTGTTGTTTTCAAAACAGTAGTGAAGGTCAGATAGGTAATAAAAAAAAATCATTTCACCACGCATACTAGAAATTCTTTTTAAAAGTGTGAGTCAGACACCACGGCACAAACTTAATTTTAATCAAATGTGCTTGAAAACACCTTCATACCTTTCTATGTTACCTTATAAAATATGACATTCAGCGTAAACATCTTCAGTAATCAAGATGCGTTCTTCGCTAGTAAACCTACTAGTCTGTACTTGTCTTTTAAAAGTTGCATAGCAATTTCTTGTAGAAAAATAAGGATTTTGTAATTAAGCTCCGCCCCATGCCTTACGACGAATAAAAAAAGTCATCACGATTGAGATAGGGCGGGTGGGCGGGGAATATATCTTACCTTTTTTTTCTTAATATAAGTAGTCATCTTTCCACAACAAGAGATTTAAAACATGTTTAAAACGGTAATTATTTGTACTGAAGTATAGATTTCTTCATCACTATCGAGGATTACTTGTTATTTATCAGTGTCGGACTGAGGACATGGGAGTCCATCGGGAAATTTACAAAGTGGGGCCCTCTCGTCCTGTGCTATAGTACAGACTAGTAGGTTTGCCAGTGAAGAACCCATCTTGAGTACTGAAGATGTTTACGTTAAATGTCATATTTATAAGGTAACATAGAAGGGTGTGAAAGTGATTAAAATTAAGTTTGTGAGTGGCGTGGTGTCTGACTCACACTTTTAAAAAGAATTTCTAGTATGCGTGGTGAAATGATTTTTTTTTATTATTACTTATCTGACCTTCACTACTGTTTTGAAAGCAACAAAATCAAAATGAATAGTGCCATTTTATATCTATCCTAATATCTAATTCAATGAAAAAGCCCTTAAAAAACAACAGTTTTATCTGCATATGTATTAAACCAAGAAGTGCATATTTATTAAACCAAAAACTTTTGACTAAAAATTTACTATGCCTATGATAGCTGTAAAACATCTCCAAGATTTCAAAGCAATCGGTTTTGTGGTTCCTGATTAAATAAATAAAATAAATTCACGCATTCATTAATTTTTTCGAGTCACCCTGTGTATGCAAATCCAAAAAATATGATTCGAATGATAAATTACAAGTACAGACTCATCATATTTTCTACATTTTAGATTTATTCGGCAAAATTTCGAGCTGACATCATCATTTTTTTTTGGAGGGGACAAGTAAATATATTTTGAATAAAAACTTATCATGCTTATCATAACTGTAAACGATCTGTAAGATTTCAAAGCATTCGGTTTTGGAGATTCTAAATTAAATGTCAAAATGTTGTTTTCTAATTTTGATTTTTTTACAAAAATCTGGACGTTTCGGGTAAAATCTCAGTTCGGAGTCATAAACTATATGTGTAAGACTATGTTATTTGATACAATTTAAAACCCATTTATTATGTACAATTTTGAAGTGACGTTATCACATTAGTGGTGGGGATGATTAGACAAATTTTGGTTAGCGTTTTACCATCTACATGATATACCTAGTATAAATACAAAATTTGACAACAATCGGCCCAGTAATTTCGGAAATTATCTGTCTAATAAAAATTCGGGACGGCGGACAGACGGACAGACGGACAGACAGACAAACGGAAACGGGAGACCTATTTCCACTTACTGTAGGGGTCATAAGAGGTTGAGAAAACGTAAAAGTAGAGAGTCGGTCGACGGATTCGATAAGCTTTATCAAATAATCCTATCAAAATTATAGCGTCTCATTTGACAAATTTGACGTAAATATATATCAAGAAATGGAGAGTGAAATGAAAGGCTTGCTATCTTTTTACTCTTTAGACCAATTTTTTTTTCCGGATCATAGGAAAGTATGATTATTTAATAAATAATAACATTTGTTTTTGTTGTAAAAATTGAAACACATTTTCCTAAAACGAATTCTAAATACTATGCAGATGTCCTGTCAATGAGTTTTCAGATTGTTTCACAGTTTTAACCGAGATGTACTGTCAATTCTGATTTACGGATTATTAAACACATCTGGTGATCTGAAAATGTCATGAGTCTTGGCATTCTAGATCTTCCTTTTCTAGTTTGAAGGTACGCCCAAAATTGTTTAGGGTTTGATGAAATTTATGATTGTCATTTGTTTGTGTATTGATTATTAATTAATTAATTAGTTATTAATACGTAAATGGGCGACTTAAGGCTACCAATACTTGGTGGTTTCATTCTTTACAACCATTCATGCAATTGTTACCTAGTACCTGCCGATTTTATTTTAGTTGGATAGATAAAAAATTGTACAATTCCTGTAAGACTTTGTTGTTTTCAAAACGGTAAGTAAAAGTTGTATGAGTAAGTCGCTTAACAAAAACCCATTTCCTTAATTTGAATATTTATTTAATAAGGAAAATTCATTTCACCACGAATCCTAGCAATTCTGTTTAAAAGTATGTGTCACAGAGATAGATGTGACTAATTTCCTCTATGTTAGCTTATATATACGATATTTAACGTAAGCAGCTTCAGTAATCAAGATGCGTTCTTCACTAGTAAACCTGCTAGTCTGCACTTTTCTTGTCAAAGTTAGTAACAGTGAAAATACCTTCGAGAACGTGACAGTTGTGCTTGCTCGTAATGACGTACCAGAAACAACGGTAGCTACATTTGACAGTCTTAAGGAAGTTATTCCTGACGTAAAAGACGAGGTGAGAATCACTGGAAACGTTCCCATCTTGTACGAAAACTCGATCTTCGATGTACCAAGTCTGTTCAGTCTTGACCTGTCTAACGTAGGTTTGGAAGAAATCAAACCGGGAGCTTTTGGTAATGTACCACTTTTGAACAAACTCGTCCTGAATTCGAACAACCTGACAGAAATCCAAAGTGATACATTTACCGATCTAAATGTAAGGTATATAGATTTGTCTTCCAACTCAATCTTCCTTCTACAACCAGGAGCCTTCACGAATTTCAAAGCTTATTACGTGACACTTGAAAACAACAAACTCACTGAACTTTCATCTGGTGTTTTTGAAAATGTTACTCTCGGAATATTAAATTTGGGTAGTAATTCTCTCTACACAATCGCACCAAAAGCTCTGTCTACACTTGGATTGACAAGGTTGAATCTGTTTGGGAACAATCTCGAGGAAATCGATCCAGACGTTTTTGATATGCAAGAGTTAACATCACTCAGTTTGAATTACAACTCAATCAAGTCTCTGCGATCTGGTGATTTGAGAAACTTACCACAGTTGGATGATCTCTGGCTTTCGGGAAACGAGTTGGAAGAAATACCAGAAGGAGTTTTCAACAATACCAAACTCGCCTACTTGCATCTAGACAGAAACCATATTGCTGAAATTGGGAGCCAAGCTTTTGATAACATGTCAGCGCTTATATTGTTGAACATTGACTCCAATAATCTGACACAATGGGATAATGATTGGCTGAGTGGAGTATCGCGAAATGCTTTTATTTCAGTCGGGCACAATCTAATTAGTGAGATTCCAGATGAAGCATTCAAGAATTATCCTCAAGTGGCAAGTATTAATCTTCAAGGGAATAAAATTAGGAACATTTCAGACAATGCGTTTGATCAATTAGAAATCATTAATCATTTTAATTTGGCTTATAATGAGATTGATAACTGGGATTCAAATTTATTGGACAACGTTATTATTCTTCATTTGGATCTCAGAAAAAATAAGTTAAAATGCATCGAAGGAGATTTGAGCGAAATTTTCAGAAAAGTTCAGCTCATAGGTTTGGAAAATAATCCTTGGGATGAAGAATGCGCTAAGAAGATTGGGGAGTTTCAGAATAAGAGAAACTGGATATCATCGTGGGATCGTTACCAACTAGACTAATTTAGAGATTATTGTGCTATAATTATAAATATCCGGTTTTTAGTTTAATAATACGTACCTATAGAATAACGTATTTTTATTATATTTTAATTTAATATTTATATATTTCAAGCGAAATAAATTCTTTTGTTGTAATACCATAGAACTGTAACTGTTTGACGCAAGGAACAGATTACAGGAAGGGTGTTTCACGAGTAAAATAAATATATCTATATTCTTTAATTGTTTCTTGTTTTCAAACAGTTTCCAGCAGTGAAGGTCTCGTGAGTAAGTAACTTCACACGATAAGCGGATCCTTGATTTGAATATTTATCTAATAATGAAAATTCATTTCGCCACGAATCCATCAAATTCTTTTTAAAAGTCCGTATCATACATGAGACTAACTTAATTTTAATCAAATTTGTTGGAAAACAATTCATCAGTCACACCTACATACCTTTCCATAATGCCTTATAAATATGACATTGAACGTGAAACACCTTCAGTCACCAAGATGCCTTCTTAATTACTAAACCTAGTAGTTCGTCTTTTCAATGTTAATAACAGTGATAAAATGACTTTCGAAAATGTGACAGTTCGGTCGTATTTTTACAAAGGAGCACTAGAAACCCAAGCTACATCTGTCAATCTTAAAAAAATAATCCCTGACGAAGAACAAGTGAGGGTGGACAAACTTGAACAGTCTCAACCTGGCTAAGGTGGGTTTGGAAGAAATCAAGCCCGGAGCTTTTGGTAATTTACCACTTTTAGACACTCTTTTTTTGAATCGGAATAACTTGACACTAATCAAAAGTGGTACTTTTACCGATCTAAATGTATCATATCTGGATTTGTCATCCAACTCAATCTTCCTTTTACAACGAGGAGCCTTCAAGAATTTCAAAGCTTGATAAGAACAAACTCACTGAAATTCCATGTGGTGTCTTCGAAAATGTTACTCTGATGAGAAGCTTAAGTTTGACTGATAATCATCTCTACATCATCGCACCAAAAGCTCTGTCTGCAATTGGATTGACTACATTGAGTCTGTTTGGTAACAAGCTCGAAGAAATCGATCCGGAGGCGTTTGACATGCAAGAATTAGTATCACTCGATTTGGATGATAACTCAGTCAAGCTTTTGCGACCTGGTGATTTGAGAAACTTGCCAGAGTTGGAGGCGTTCAGTGTCGAGAAAAATGAGTTGAAAGAAATCCCAGATGGTATTTTCCACAACACCAAACTCACCTACTTGAATCTAGCTGCAAACCAGATTGTTAAAATTGCGAGTACAGCTTTTGATGGCATGTTGGCGCTTACACTGTGGAGGATTGACTCCAATAATCTAACTCATTGGGAAGATTGGCTGTCATCACCGTCTGCTTCTATTTTTGTCCGTTTTAATCAGATTACTGAGATTTCAGATGAAGCTTTCAAGAATTGTTCTCGGTTGTTTAATTATTAATCTTCAAGGGAATCACATCAGGAAGATTTCAACTAAAGCTTTTCGCAAATTGGAACAGATTCGTCATTTTAATTTGGCCGATAATGAAATTGATAACTGGGATCCAGATACATTGGGGAATGTTAGCATTGTTAGTTTGGATCTCAGTGGAAATAGGCTAAAGTGTATTAAAGGAGATTTGGAAACAATTTTCAAGAATGTTCAAAAGATACGTTTGGAAAATAATCCTTGGAAAAAAGAGTGTGCTAAGAAGGTTGCGAAGTTTCAGAAAAAAAAGAAGCAGATACCCAATTACAATTTGATAGAATATTGTGTTATAATAAATATGTAGTTTTTACTTTAATACGTATGCAAATAAAACAACTGTTTTTTTTACTCTCTAGTTTCATGTTTTCTCGACCTTTCATGACCTAGCGTACGAAGAAATAGGTCGCTCATTTCCGTCTGTCTGTCTGCCGTCTCGGTTTTTTATTAGACAGATAAATGGGTTAGACAAATTTTATGTGTATTATGAATATCATATAGACTATGAAATATTAACCATACTTTGTTTTCTGTTAAAATTAACAATCAGATGTTTTTCCAAATTTTCCGTTGTTACCACGAAAGCGAAAAACGCAAAATCAAATTTTATAATATTATAAGAAACCAAGAAAACGTTTTCGTCAATTAAAATTAGTTCAAGATAGTCTTTTATCCATGAATTGAATAAAGTCTATTATTTTTTTTTATGGTGATGGGTATGGTGGTGGGGCTTAATCTTTGCCTTTATTTTTTACTTAATATACATAGTATTTTTTGAACAACTCTATACTCAAAGACATGTTTTACATGATAATTTCCTGTAGAGAAATAAGGATTTTAAGGTCCACCCTCTTGGCTCACTATGAATAAAAAATTCATTACAATAGACGTGGGGTGGGTGGGCGGGGCTTATATTTAGTCTTTTGTGTTCTTAATATTCGTAGTGTTCTTTTCGCCACAAGAAACTTAAAACGTGTTTAAATCAGGAAATATGGATTTTGTAATTACGTTGCGCCCCCCAGTCTGACAACGAATGGAAAATTCATCACCATTGAGATCCAGACGGATGGGTGGGGATTATTGTTTTTTGTTACTTAAAACACAAATATTTTTCTCTGAGCATCACTGAAGAACATGTATCACATGGTAATTTTTCTAGAAAAATACGGATTTTGCAATTAAGCTCCGCCCCCCTTGACTAATGACGAACAAAGAAAGAGCGTTACAATTGAGATAGGGTGGGTGGGTGGGGCTTATGTTTTGCTTTTTTTTTTCTTCTTAATATATATTGTTTTTTCTCCATAACAAGAAACTGAAAACATGTTTAAAATGGTAAATTCTATCCCATATACTTCTCTACAGATTTATCCTTTTAAACATGTTTTCAGTTTCTTGTCGTGAAAAGAAAAGTAGGCACATGTTTTAAGAAAAAAAAAAAAACAAAATACAAACCCCGCCCACCCACCCTCATTTCAATTGTGATAAGGTTTTTATTCGTTGTGAGCAGAAGGGCGAAGTTTATTGGAAAATGCTTGTTTCTCTACAAGAAATTACTATGTGTAACATGTTTTTAAACAAGATGTATGTGTTCACGAAAACAAATCCAAAAATAAGCCCCACCCACCCGCCCCAATTTAATTGTGATAATTTTCCATTCGTTATCAGACCGTGGGGCGGAACTTAATTGTAAAATCGATGTTTCTCGAGAAAAACTGACCATTTTAAACAGGGGCGGACTGGCACTTTAAAAGTGGCCCGGGCAAAAGATTTAATCGGCCCTGGAGGCGACCCTCATTTACTACTTATAATAAATTTTTTCTGTGATATTTTGTAAAATCAACAATTTTACATTTATCTATTAATTAATAAGGTTAAAATAAATAATTTTACTTAGAAATACGCTCAGGAAGTAAAAACTTGTATCAATTTTATTATTTATATGCATTATACCTATATTATACAGATTATTTTAATAATTTGGCCATAACGGTACTTTGACCCGACAGTGTATCTATAACAATATTACAGTCAATGTCATCTAACATGATACTTTCAACAAACATCATTGTAAATGCTTCCAAATGATCATCCGTCAAACTATTTCGTAATCTGTTTTTGACTATTTTAAACCTCGAAAAACTTCTTTCACAACCAGCAGACGAAATGGATAGAGTTAACAAAAATTTATACACTAGAAAAAGATTTTCATAAGCACTTGAATAAAGATTGTGTTTCATTAAAAATGTATAACAATACAAGGCACACTGTTTGCAGGATTTGCAGGATTTTTGGTTACCACAATCGTCACTAAAAGTTGAGTCTTCGGATACTGTTTGTTTTAATTGATCCCATTTTGCAGCAAAATCTAAAAGTTCTTCTCGTATTTGAGACGGTGTAATTTCGCCATTAAATTTTATTAAAACATTGCATAGTGGAACAAATAAATCTGAATTTAGAGTTTCAGAACTTATATTGTTGAATTGTCGGGGATTAAATACAGCAAGCATAGTATAATTTTTTTCGTTTTTAGTAAATCTTGTACTAAAACTTTGCACAATAACGTCCATAACTACATTGTATAGGTACATCAATTTTATATTTTTCATAGGGGTTATCAATACTATAGTCTGAAGTTTTTTCACCCGACAACATTTTTTTTTTACGAATTCGCAGAATATCTAATTGCGAATTGATTACCGTAGACGCGTCGTTTTCTTTTCCCAATTCGTTATTTGCCCATTCTACAAATTTATCTGTTGTTAACTTTAAATGATCAAAATCTCTGGAGATTGCAGTTAAAGAATTTTTTGTTTCAGTAATCATTGTTTGCGCTGTAATTAGGTCTAGTCCAGATGTTTGTAAATATTTTGATGTAGGTGAAGTATGCTGAAAAATTCTCAAATACATATTGGCGGTTAAAATGGTTTCATATTTTGAAAGTGAATTTAAGTAGGAAGTTGCTTTATATCGTGTGTCAGAATTTAAAATTTCTGATTTTGATATACCTTCAAGAACCTCTATAATTGTAACAAAAAGGGCATTACTTGTGTCACCATAACTTCCAAAAATTTTTAACACTGCATTAAATTTAGAATCCCATCTTGTTTCTCCTATTGTACTTAAAACTTTTCGAGAAGACTCTTTCCAAATGTCCATTCTAGTGTGAGATTCTTTAAAGAAAACAGCAATACCATTTAACAAACCAAATAAAGATGTACACTGATGTGGTTTTTGTGTAATATCTGTTATTAAAAGAGCTTGGCCTTTTGTAGAACTTGTACTTTTTAATGCAAGCAATGTTTCATGTTTCATGCACAGATTCATCATCTACATATCTAATAATAATAGAAGTTTGAGCTGTAATTGTAATTTCTTGTGTTGTATCAATTTGAATTGAATACATTCCGATATTGGTAATTTTTTCTGAAATCTTACGCGTTATTAAATTTTTGATAATATTTACAATGAAATTTATAGTTGTTTTGGACAAAAAAGACACAATATTACCCCTACCTTTCTTGCCACGTGTATATCGCTTTTGCTTTTCTAAAATAACACGATTAATATGTGAATTTAATAAGGGGTTAAATTTTTTTAGCAGTAAAATAAGTTCCAAAAAGTCACCATGATTAATTTTTGAATTGGCCAAAGAAAGAATATCCTCATTTCTGTGGCCTCTGTAGGCAATACCACATTTACCAATTACTTTTATTACTTCTATAATTCGCAGTAAAATATCTCTTCTATTCTGAACTTGACTTAAACGAATATTTTCTTGTTTTGGTACGTAAGACAGTATATTTAATTTTTTCAATTGCATCAAATGTGCTTCAGCAGAATTTTTGTGACTTTGACTTTTTTCATGCTCATCCACTCTACTGTAAATATGTTTAGGATGAATACTTTTTACAGCACTTTTAAATATACTAGATTCTTTGCTGTAAACCATACAAACTGTACAAAATAAAGTTTTTGAGTGTTCATTATACGAGTAAGTTAACCAAGTACGCCGCACCCCACTTTTCCTGCGAAACAGTGTAATCGGATTGAATGATAAGTCTTTTACATCACATGGTTGAATTGGATGAAATTTAAAAAAGCTATGTTGCTGGGATAGAAAAAAAATTATTGCTTTCGACGGGTGGCAGAAACTCTTGTTCTGATACTTTTTGTTGTGAAGAAACATCTTCCAGAATCGTTGCTTCAATCCAAGTTGCACCGCTTCAACAGGTTCAATAGGAGTTGTGCTTGTAGATTGTGCAGGTTGACTGTCACCTTCAACATTTTCTTTACGCAATTTAATAAATGAAGACAAGGGCTTGTAAAACTTGGCTTGTTCCTCCAAAGCTTCTTTTTTCTTTTCGCGTAATTTTTCCGCACCGCCGTTAATCGCTTTTCTTTTAACACCCTTCCCAGTTGTGCTTGGTTTGTCCATTTCGACAAACTAGTTTTGAAAAAGCCATAATGCAAATACTATTTTTACAGATAAAAAAAAGTAATTTACCTTACGGTGTTGATTATAAATTGTCACTTAATAGAAACCTCACGATCTACATACACCGTCAATGGTTAAGCAGAGACATAAGACTGATTCTTAGAGAAAGATAAGTTTTGGATTAGGCCGATTGTATATTTTGTTAAGCATTAATTAAAAGAGTGTGAAAATAGAACGTGCTTAATTGCCTAAACGTGCCCATTGCATATCATGCTTTGTTAATGTTATTTAAACTCGATACATATCACGGTGTATCATATTTCGTCTGCGGTGGCGCCAACATTGTTAAACAAAATTTAAAAGCTTGACTTTGAGAAATTATTGATTTTGTCTATTCAGCGTAACCGGCCTACTGGCCCATCAGTTCGACGGCCCACCGGGCGAATGCCCGGTAGCCCGCCTGGCCAGTCCGCCCCTGATTTTAAACGTTAAATATATTGTCGTGAAAAGATTGTTACGTATATCCAGAAAAAAAGGCAATAAATTAATAATAATTTTTATTGTCGGTCCATCCATTAACATGTGATTCGATAAATTTCATCACGTGATCGGTTAATCAACTAATTTGATTGTCACGCTTTTATATACCGGTTCAAGGGTTTCAGAAAGAAACTAATTTTATATTTGTGAAACATTAGTGTTGTTCTTATGACCACACAGAATCAGATCGAATTTTGCACCTGTAGTGTATGCACAACTGATGTCGTTTAATATGTAGGCTGTCCGTAACGCGCCATGAGCAGTCTATGTTGAAAAATGTTATTGTTTTTAGAAAATTGCTCCCGTTGATTTAGTTTTTCTTTAATTCTTCAAGATTTTCTTGTTTTCAAAACAGTCGTGAAGGTCGGATGAGTGAAAGTTTCTTAATAAAAATACAGCATTTCCTTGATTTGAATATTTATCTAACAAAGAAAATTAATTTCACTACGAATCCAACAAATTCTTGTTACAAGTGTGCGTCATACATATGACCAACTTAATTTTAATCAAATGTATTGGAAAACAATCCAGTTAATCTGTTTTCCACATTACATTATAAATACAACATTTATCGTAAACAACTTCAGTAATCAAGATGCGTTCTTTACTGCTAGACCTACTAATCTGTATTTTACTTGTTAAAGTTAGTAAGAGCGAAAAAATTACTTTCGAAAATGTAACATTCCGGTGGCGTGTTGATAACGAACTAATAGAATCGGTAGCTACATCTGAGAGTCTTAAGAAAATCATTCCTGATGTAACCAAAGTGTCGGTGCACATCTTGGGACACGTTCCCATCTTGTACGAAAAATCGATTTTCGATATACCAAATTTGAACGGACTTAACTTGTCCGATGTGGGTTTGGAGGAAATCGAATCGCAAGCTTTTGGTAACTTACCACCTTTGGAAAATCTCCTTCTATCGTGGAATAACTTGACACAAATCAAAACTGATACTTTTTCCGATCTAAATGTATCGAATGTAGATTTGTCTTTCAACTCAATCACCCTTCTAGAACCAGGAGCCTTCAAGAATTTCAACGCTTCTATCGTGTCACTTGATAGCAACAGACTCACTGAATTGTTAAGTGGTGTTTTTGAGAACGTTACCCTTGGAAGCTTGAGTTTGAATGATAATCTTCTCCACACCATCCCACCAACGGCTCTGTCTTCAATTGGACTGACAAAATTGTATTTGCTTGGGAACAATTTCGAAGAAATCGATCCGGAAGTCTTTGACCTGCAAGAATTGGTATCACTCGATTTGGATTACAACTCAATCAAGCTTCTGCGACCTGGTGATTTGAGAAACTTGCCAGAGTTGAAGAAACTCTGGCTTTCGGGAAACGAGTTGGAAGAAATCCCAGAAGGGGTTTTCAACAACACCAAACTCATCTATTTGTATCTAGCCACAAACAATATTGTTAAAATTGCGAGTAAAGCTTTTGAGGACATGTCTGCGCTTAGAGTGTTGAACATTGACTCCAATAATGTTACACATTGAGATGATAATTGGCTGAGTGGGGCAAAATCAGTTTCTGAAGTATCAGTCAGGTATAATTTGATTACTGAGATTCCAGACGAAGTATTCAAGAATAACTCTGATGTGACAAGTATTAATTTCCAGGGGAATAAAATGAGGAATATTTCAGCTAAAACGTTTTATAAATTAGAACACATTGATTATTTAAATTTGGCCAATAATGAAATTGATCACTGGAATCCAGATTTATTGGTTGATGTTAATGTTGGTAGTTTGGATTTGAAGGAAAATTAGTTATCCTGTATTGAAGGAGATTTGGAGACAGTTTTCAGAAATGTTGAAAGTACCCATTTAGAGAATAATCCTTGGAATGAACAGTGTGTTAAGAAAGTTGAGGAGTTTATTATGAACAAGAAGGTGGATGTATCCTAATTTTATGCTAGTTTCTGCCTTAATGTTGTGGTTTTTGATTAAATGTTACTTTTTCAGTTATGCAACTTTTGTTTCTTTTCGTGGAGAATTTTTTTTACTTTGAATATTTTTATTTAATTTTTACTTTTGACGATTTATCAAACATGTAATTTTTCCCATCGTATTTTACTGATTGATCAAGACGTATTAGTACAATTTTATAAACGTGAAAAATGTTAAAAGGAGAGCAATTTCTGTCAGCCAGATTTTATCACAGTTATGGGTGGGGCTTAATCTCGTGATGAGTTTTTCATTCGTTGCCAGATCAAAGGCCGAAACGTAACTGGAAAATTAGTATTTTCCTACAAAAATTTACCATTTTAAACATGTTTTAATTTATTATCATGAAAAGATGACTACGTATATTAAGAAAAAATAAGAAAAAAGTAAGCCCCGCCCACCCTCCCTTTTCCAGTTGTGATGATTTTTTTTATTCGTCGTCAGCCAAGAGGGCGGAGCTTGCAAAATCCTTATTTCTCTACAAGAAATTACCACGGACATGTTTTTGAGTATCGTGTTGTTTAAGGAATACCAGTTATGTTTATTAAGTAAAAATTTAAAGCCAAACTCAGATTGAGACGAATGAGAGGGGCTCATGTTTTGGCTTTCTTTTGTACTTAAAGATACAACACATAGCAATTTCTTGTAGAAAAATAAGGATTTCGTAATTAAGCTCCGCCCCATGACTTACGACGAGTAATAAAAGTCACGATTGAGATAAGGCGGGTGGGCGGGGAATATATCTTACCTTTTTTTCTTAATATACGTAGTCATCTTTCCACAACAAGAGACTTAAAACATGTTTAAAATGGTAATTATTTGTACTGAAATATGGATTTCTTCATCACTATTGAGGATTACTTGTTATTTATCAGTCGCCCTGTGCTATAGTACAGACTAGTAGGTTTGCCAGTGAAGAACACATCTTGAGTACTGAATATGTATACGTTAAATGTCATATTTATAAGGTAACATAGAAGGTTGTGAAAGTGATTAAAATTAAGTTTGTGAGTGGCGTGGTGTCTGACTCACACTTTTAAAAAGAATTTCTAGTATGCGTGGTGAAATGATTTTTTTATTATTACTTATCTGACCTTCACTATGTTTTGAAAACAACAAAATCTGAATGAATTGTGCCATTTTCTATCTATCCTAATATCTAATTCAGTGAAAAGGCCGTTAAAAAACAACAGTTTTATCTGCATATGTATTAAACCAAGAAGTGAATATTTATTAAACCAAAAACTTTTGACTAAAATTTTACTATACCTATGATAGCTGTAAAACATCTCCAAGATTTCAAAGCAATCGGTTTTTTGGTTCCTGATTAAATAAATAAAATAATTTCACGCATTCATTACCCTGTATATGCAAATCCAAAAAATATGAATCGAATGATAAATTACAAGTTCAGACTCACCATATTTTCTACATTTTAGATAGGATTTATTGACAAAATTTCGAGCTGACGTCATCAATTTTTTTGGAGTGGACAAGTAAGTATATTTTGAATAAAAACTTATCATGCTTATCATAACTGTAAATGATCTGCAAGATTTCAAAGCATTCGGTTTTGGAGATTCCAAATTAAATGTCAAAATGTTGTTCTCTAATTTTGATTTTTTTTATAAAAATGTGGACGTTTCGGGTAAAATCTCAGTTCGGAGTCATAAATTATATATGTAAGACTATGTTATTTGATACAATTTAAAACCCATTTACTATGTACAATTTTGAAGTGACGTCATCACATTAGTGGTGGGGATGATTAGACAAATTTTGGTTAGCGTTTTACCATCTACATGATATACCTAGTATAAATACAAAATTTGACAACAATTGGCCCAGTAATTTCGGAAATTATCTGTCTAATAAAAATCCGGGACGGCAGACAGACGGACAGACGGACAGACAGACAAACGGACAGACAAACGGAAACGGGAGAACTATTTCTACTTACTGTAGGGGTCATAAGTGGTTGAGCAAACGTAAATGTAGAGAGTCGGTCGACGGATTCGATAAGCTTTATCAAATAATCCTATCAAAATTATAGCGTCTCATTTGACACATTTGACGTATTTTTTTTTTTTATATATATATCAAGAAATGGAGAGTGAAATGAAAGGCTTGCTATCTTTTTACTCTTTAGACCAATTTTTTTTTCCGGATCATAGGAAAGTATGATTATTTAATAAATAATAACATTTGTTTTTGTTCTAAAAATTGAGGCACATTTTCCTAAAACGAATTCTAGATACTATGCAGATTTCCAGTCAATGAGTTTTCAGATTGTTTCACAGTTTTAACCGAGATGTACTGTCAATTCTGATTTACGGATTATTAAACTCATCTGGTGAACTGAAAATTTCATGAGTCTTGGCATTCTAGATCTTCCTTTTCTAGTTTGAAGATACGCCCAAAATTTTTTAGAGTTTGATGAAATTTATGATTGTAATTGGTTTGTGTATTGATTATTAATTAATTAATTAGTTATTAATACTTAAATGGGCGCCTTAAGGCTACCAAGACTTGGTGGTTTCATTCTTTACAACCATTCATGCAATTGTTATCTAGTATCTGCCGATTTTATTTTAGTTTTATAGATAGAAAATTGTACAATTCCTGTAAGACTTTGTTGTTTTCAAAACGGTAAGTAAAAGTTGTATGAGTAAGTCGCTTAACAAAAACCCATTTCCTTAATTTGAATATTTATTTAATAAGGAAAATTCATTTCACCACGAATCCTAGCAATTCTGTTTAAAAGTGTGTGTCACAGAGATAGATGTGACTAATTTCCTCTATGTTAGCTTATATATACGATATTTAACGTAAACAGCTTCAGTAATCAAGATGCGTTCTTCACTAGTAAACCTGCTAGTCTGCACTTTTCTTGTCAAAGTTGGTAACAGTGAAAATACCTTCGAGAACGTGACAGTTGTGCTTGCTCGTAATGACGTACCAGAAACAACGGTAGCTACATTTGACAGTCTTAAGGAAGTTATTCCTGACGTAAAAGACGAGGTGAGAATCACTGGAAACGTTCCCATCTTGTACGAAAACTCGATCTTCGATGTACCAAGTCTGTTCAGTCTTGACCTGTCTAACGTAGGTTTGGAAGAAATCAAACCGGGAGCTTTTGGTAATGTACCACTTTTGAACAAACTCGTCCTGAATTCGAACAACCTGACAGAAATCCAAAGTGATACATTTACCGATCTAAATGTAAAGTATATAGATTTGTCTTCCAACTCAATCTTCCTTCTACAACCAGGAGCCTTCACGAATTTCAAAGCTTATCACGTGACACTTGAAAACAACAAACTCACTGAACTTTCATGTGGTGTTTTTGAAAATGTTACTCTCGGAATATTAAATTTGGGTAGTAATTCTCTCTACACAATCGCACCAAAAGCTCTGTCTACACTTGGATTGACAAGGTTGAATCTGTTTGGGAACAATCTCGAGGAAATCGATCCAGACGTTTTTGATATGCAAGAGTTAACATCACTCAGTTTGAATTACAACTCAATCAAGTTTCTGCGACCTGGTGATTTGAGAAACTTACCACAGTTGGATGATCTCTGGCTTTCGGAAAACGAGTTGGAAGAAATACCAGAAGGAGTTTTCAACAATACCAAACTCGCCTACTTGCATCTAGACAGAAACCATATTGCTGAAATTGGGAGCCAAGCTTTTGATAACATGTCAGCGCTTATATTGTTGAACATTGACTCCAATAATCTAACACAATGGGATAATCATTGGCTGAATGGAACATCGTCAGATGCTTCTATTTTAGTCAGGTACAATCTAATTAGGGAGCTTCCAGACGAAGCATTCAAGAGTTATCCTCAAGTGACTAGTATTGATTTTCAGGGGAATAAAATTAGGAACATTTCAGATAACGCTTTTGATAACTTAGTAGTCTCTGATTATTTGAATTTGGCTTCTAATGAGATTGATAACTGGGATCCAAATTTATTGGACAACGTTATTATTATTAGTTTGGATCTCAGCAAAAATAAGTTAAAATGCATCGAAGGAGATTTGCATGAAATTTTCAGAAATGTTGGATTCGTATATTTGGAAAATAATCCTTGGGATGAACAATGCGCTAAGAAGATTGAGGAGTTTCAAAATAATAAAAACTGGATATCATGGTGGGGTGGTTACCAACGACACTAATTTAGAGATTATTGTGCTATAATTATTATAAATATCCGGTTTTTAGTTTAATAATACGTATACTTAGAACAACTGTATTTTCATTAGATTTGAAAATTTTAATTTAATAAATTTAATCTAATTAAAAAAATTGGTTCGACAGAACTTCCCTCGCAGCACAATGAAACATATCCAGCATTTTTTCCTTAAATATCCTAATACTAAGTTTTTATTGGGAGCACTGTTTCATAAAATGTATATACATAATAAATCATCCAATAATCATATTATTTTACCTATGACTGTCAATAATAAATTCCTGCATAACTTCAGTGATGTATGTGAAGCATTTAGTAAATATTTTTCGTCAGTCTATTCGTATAATA